GGGGTATTGGCTTGGGAAGATAAAGATAAAGATCTACCCAGCAATTGACGCAATTAAAATAAATTAATAATTTAAACACAAGGGTACAGTTTACCGCATTAAGGTATTTTTATGAATCATTTTTGTTGGTAAGATCCTGTTTTATAATAATAATAATAAACACAAAGATATTTCTTTGAGCAATGAAGGACAGTGACACTACAACAACAACACTGAGCCACACTAAAACCAGTTATTTGTCAACAAAACACCTCAATGAGGCTCACAGTTCTATTTATAAACAGAAACAGGCTAGAATGAATAAGGTGTGTATTTTTGTAGCTTCTCGGGTGTCGTCCGAACAAACACAAGGTTGCTATGGCAACTCGGGTAACAACAAGGGAATATTACTAAAAGTTTTAAATATGATTTTTTTAAACCTCGTATTTTTTCACAGGAGTTTGCAACGCGAACGTTTGAATTTTGGGACTGACAAAATGATTTTAAATCATGGAGACCTCAGAAGTCAGATTACCAGATTTACAGGCTGTTAGCGTATAGTGCTGTTATTTGGAGGCTGTTACCATAGAAACATCTTAATTTAACAATATCTAACAATATCCGGCAATTATATAGATTAGAATAGAAAATATTACCTAATACTACTACTACTATCAAGATATAAAGCAAGCTTATACCTCGCTTCCTCACTTATACCATTTAAATTTATATATTAAATCAGCTAAATGATATTATTAAAGAAGCGTTATCCTAATCTCCCTGCCGCACTATAAGAGGTATAATTAAAACATCATAATATAACTTGTGTCTTGTGCTCCTTCATAATATAACTTGTGTCTTGTGCTCCTTCATAATATAACTTATGTATTGTGCTCCTTATTTTCAGTGTTCAGTGGTTGCCTTGGTTACCTTCTCTGTTGTGGGCATATTTCCCTGCTCCTTGTTTGGACATTGTGTGACGTCATTTCTTATACCCAAATATGGGCATGTGAGGGTTTTGTAGGGTAGTATGAGCAATATTAAGGGTTCACTAGTTCGTGTTATTCATTAGTAAAGCCATTTTATATATCCTTGAGAAGCCAATCTAGTGATCTTAAGGTTTCGGGGGATATTTCTATTTTCCCAGTACTTTTATAATACTTAGTTACAATATCTAGTAAGTTGTTTATTGTCTCAAAACACTATACTTTCAGTTACCATAGCAACACTGCAGTTACCATAGCAACACTGCAGTTACCATAGCAACACTGCAGTTACCATAGCAACACTGCAGTTACCATAGCAACACTGCAGTTACCATAGCAACACTGCAGTTACCATAGCAACACTGCAGTTACCATAGCAACACTGCAGTTACCATAGCAACACTGCAGTTACCATAGCAACACTGCAGTTACCATAGCAACACTGCAGTTACCATAGCAACTGTAGAGGAGCACTGTTTAGTCACGTATGTTATACAGTGATATAGTAGTAGTATAGTAATACAGTAGTAGTATAGTAATATAGTAGTAGTATAGTAATATAGTAGTAGTATAGCAATATAGTAGTAGTACCTACAGTAGTAGTATAGCAAAATAGTAGTAGTACCTACAGTAGTAGTATAGCAATATAGTAGTAGTACCTACAGTAGTAGTATAGCAATATAGTAGTAGTACCTACAGTAGTAGTATAGCAATATAGTAGTAGTACCTACAGTAGTAGTATAGCAATATAGTAGTAGTACCTACAGTAGTAGTATAGCAATATAGTAGTAGTACCTACAGTAGTAGTATAGTAATATAGTAGTAGTACCTACAGTAGTAGTATAGCAATATAGTAGTAGTACCTACAGTAGTAGTATAGTAATATAGTAGTAGTACCTACAGTAGTAGTATAGCAATATAGTAGTAGTACCTACAGTAGTAGTATAGCAATATAGTAGTAGTACCTACAGTAGTAGTATAGCAATATAGTAGTAGTACCTACAGTAGTAGTATAGTAATATAGTAGTAGTACCTACAGTAGTAGTATAGCAATATAGTAGTAGTACCTACAGTAGTAGTATAGCAATATAGTAGTAGTACCTACAGTAGTAATACCTCTACAGATTCTCACTTCTGTTTTGCAAGAACATTCTCAGTTTTCAGATCCTTGATTAACGCTACTCTAAAATTAAATAAAGGAATCTTTAAATCGTAGCCTCTAAGTTTATCAACAATATTTAGAAAAATGTGCAGATAACTTCTCCACGATAATTATTGTTTAAATATGGCAAATATTTCAAAGTATAAAGTTGTTTATTATAAAAAAACGAATATTTAAATTCTGCCATGGACTATATTGAATACTTTATTACTTTCAATTTGCTGAAGTATTTACTAAATTTGGGCACGTTTCTTTGCTTAGAAACACTCCAAGAATCCTTTAGAATTGTGATCACCGAGTATTATTTGAACAACTGGTTTCAAATGTCAACTACCCAAATACATAACATCTCTCGGAATGCCCAAATAAGGACAGTTCAGGACACGTGACATGCCCATATAAGGAGATGCTATGTCACGTGGTGTGTAAGTCGCCTGCATCCCGGCACCGTGTGCCTGCGCTAATTATTCAACACTGTATGTTATCTTACTGCTTTAATACTGTTTTCTCGTTGATATGGCTTGTTTCTCGAATCAAGATTCCCTCTGGTATTTTAGCTTACTGTAAATATGTTGAGTTGGGTGATGTTACCATAGTAACGCGCGTGTACAGTGTCTGGTATCCATGGTGACCTGTGTTAGTTACTGAGTATTTCATCACTTCGTAATAAGTTAAACTGCCAGGCTCCGCGCTGCGGTACTAAAATAAACTATTTTTTAGTAGTTCTGCCCAAGTAGAGGGGTAGTAGAGAGGAATAAGGCGGGTGGCTGGGAGTGCTAATTATCATCTCTGTCACGTACTAGCCCGCATGTCTCAAGGGATTCAGTTGCTCTCCTCTTCTTCTCCCCTTCTGACAAACATTTCCTCTTCTCTACTACTTGAACCTCGTCTTCAGCTTGTCTCAAGCTAGAACAAGATGTCTCAGTAAGCAGTACAGGGGTCTGATACTATCACGTGACGTCATCGTCTAAAAATGTACAGTGTACTGTACGTGTTCCTTTCTTTGCAACATGTTACCATGACAACTCCTCCGGCTTCAACTCTACTGCACATTCTCCGCCCTGCATGTTTAACATGTGGTTACCTAACTTAGTCGTACCGTCGTCATGGAAACTACCGTGGTCGTCATGGAAACTACCGTAGTATGTGCGACAAGTACTATGGTTGCTATGGAAACAGTTAGTGGTTGTTATGGTAACAGTAAGATATGTCTCGCTGGGCTCACAGCGTATCACGAGACAATGTATTTGCTGCCCATACTGACCATGTCAGCGCGTTTTTGAATATGTCGCAGGATACACTCTGGAATTCAGACCGGCTAACTCACACACACATATATACTGCTCCCTAGTTGTTATTATCCTACATTAACTCTTCCTCCCTTCACTCGCGTGTTGAGACTAAGTTTGACCCACATTTGTTTTACCCACATTTTCTTTTGTTACTCTCACCATTTCCTTTGTTAATTTCTCGAACCTTTTACATTATTCGGCTCCTTTAAATTTGCTGCTCTCCTTAATTTGCTGTGAACTGTTTCGGAATGCTGTCTTTAGCAACACTCCAGTTACCATAGCAACACTCCAGTTACCATAGCAACACACCAGTTACCATAGCAACACACCAGTTACCATAGCACCACTCCAGTTAACATAGCAACACCTTAGTTACCATAGCTACATGCCAGTTACCATAGCAACACCCCATTTACCATAGCAACACACCAGTTACCATATCAACGCTCCAGTTACCATAGAAATATTTCAGTTACCATAGCAACACTCCAGTTACCATAACAACACCCCGGTTACCATAGCAACACTCCAGTTTCCATTCGTAAGCTACAATTTATCTGATAATGGACTCTTCATCATATTTGTATCTGTCTATAACAGCACAGTTAGAAAATGCACTACCCTGCTAGTGGTTTGTAGCACCTTACCTTACAGAATTACAATAACCCAACAGTACAGATCTACTTGCACTGAGGAATCTTCTTTCTTCGATTGGCATATGGGCAGTATGGGCAGTACCGACTACCGAACAGTATGGTCAGTATGGTCAGTACCGAGTAGTACCGACTACCGAGCAGTATGGTCAGTAGTAGTACCGAGCAGTACCGAATACCGAGCAGTATGGTCAGTACCGAGTAGTACCGACTACCGAACAGTATGGTCAGTATAGTCAGTACCGACTACCGAGCAGTATGGTCAGTAGTAGTACCGACTACCGAGCAGTATGGTCAGTACCGAGTAGTACCGACTACCGAACAGTATGGTCAGTAGTAGTACCGACTACCGAGCAGTATGGTCAGTACCGAGTAGTACCGACTACCGAGCAGTATGGTCAGTATGATCAGTACCGAGTAGTACCGACTACCGAACAGTATGGTCAGTATGGTCAGTACCGAGCAGTACCGACTACCGAGCAGTATGGTCAGTACCGAGCAGTACCGAATACCTAGCAGTATGGTCAGTACCGAGCAGTACCGAATACCTAGCAGTATGGGCAGTAGTAGTACCGAATACCTAGCAGTATGGTCAGTATGGTCAGTAGTAGTACCGAATACCGAGCAGTATGGTCAGTATGGTCAGTAGTAGTACCGAATACCGAGCAGTACCGAGCAGTATGGTCAGTACCGAGCAGTACAGACTACCGAGCAGCATGGTCAGTACCGAGCAGTACAAACCTAACACCGAGCGCTGAGTGTTATAGATCGTACTGCATTCTAACACAGTGTATTAGCGAGCACTAATACTAAGAGGTATATTATCAGGTACATAGTCCTGGTGTGTTACTCTGTAATCCTCCTCACACCTTCACATCATAGAACTACTGGCAGTAGCTTTGTTTAAATCGTTAGCTTTGTTTTTCTTAATTCCGCTCTTTTATTTTTGTTTTTATTTGTTGACTCCACTCTCATCGCTAGCTTAGTTACCATAGCAACACTAGCTTAGCTTGTTTCCAACAATTTTACTGTCAAAATATAAAATGTTCAAACATTACCCTCTTTTCCGAGTCTCATTGTATCGCTTTCTAGCAATGAGTCCATGACAGCACATCTCACAATATATGTTGTCATGGTAACGTTATCTGAGGGTCAGAACAACTGTTTGTAGTGAGGCGAAAGCGAGCTGATAAGGAGTTACCATAGTAACACACGCGCTGATAAGGAGCTGATAAGGAGTTACCATAGTAACACACGCGCTGATAAGGAGCTGATAAGGAGTTACCATAGTAACACACGCGCTGATAAGGAGCTGATAAGGAGTTACCATAGTAACACGCGCTGATAAGGAGTTACCATAGTAACACACGCGCTGATAAGGAGCTGATAAGGAGTTACCATAGTAACACGCGCTGATAAGGAGTTACCATAGTAACACACGCGCTGATAAGGAGCTGATAAGGAGTTACCATAGTAACACACGCGCTGATAAGGAGCTGATAAGGAATTACCATAGTAACACACGCGCTGAGGAGATATGTCCAGAATGAGGACTACACCCCACCACTCCCCCTTATCACGGAGACACAGTGACTCAGCTGCTAAACAGAACATGAAGACAGCCCCCTCCTCCCCCTCCTCTCCCTCCTCTCCCTCCTTCTCCTCCCTCTATTCTCCTAACAGCTGTTTTAGTCCTATCAGAAAGTTAGGCTTCTCTTTCAGACCCTATCTAGTGAGAGAAAAGTACTTCTGTGAACACGACGCTACTGAAGAGGACAAGGTTAGATACACAGTTACCATAGCAACACTACACAGTTACCATAGCAACACTACACAGTTACCATAGCAACACTACACAGTTACCATATCAACACTACATAGTTACCATAGCAACACTACACAGTTACCATAGCAACACTACACAGTTACCATATCAACACTACACAGTTACCATATCAACACTACATAGTTACCATATCAACACTACACAGTTACCATAGCAACACTACACAGTTACCATAGCAACACTACACAGTTACCATAGCAACACTACACAGTTACCATATCAACACTACACAGTTACCATAGCAACACTACACAGTTACCATAGCAACACTACACAGTTACCATAGCAACACTACACAGTTACCATATCAACACTACATAGTTACCATAGCAACACTACACAGTTACCATAGCAACACTACACAGTTACCATAGCAACTCCTCTATTTTGTATCACACGACACACGAACGGTTAATGAAAGCACCTTCTTTACCATAGGAACACTACAGTTACCGTAGCAATACTACAGTTACCGTAGGAACACTACAGTTACCGTAGCAATACTACAGTTACCATAGCAATACCGCAGTTAGCACTTAGCACCTTCTTGGTTACTCCTCTTTTATCTTGCAGTGTGCTTATTATTGCATGTTGACTGATTTTGTAGCATTCTTATAGTAATGCAATTACTGAACCCCTCCTTGCTACTAGAGTACTGAGGGGGGGGGGGGGTACATCATTCTACTGTAAAGTATCAAAAAAACACAAGATTGCCAGATCACAATGATCTCAGATCTCAGCAGAAGTAACACTAAGTAAGCTGCTCTCAGTACGGCTTCAGCAGCCATATCCACTCTTCTGTTACCATAGCAACACTGTATAGTGACCATAGCAACACTACACAGTTACCATATTCCCTCTTCTGACTCCGCTCTCTTTGTACTACTCTAGTACTGATCCTAAGCGGAATATCTTTGTGTTGTCTGGAGCCCTCTCTCTCTCTCTCTCTCTCTCTCTCTCCCTCTCTCTCTCTGTTAGGATATTGTGATATTGTATAGTGCCCTGTATAACCAGTAGTCACCCCCTTTACTCACTACCCTCCTGATGTATACCCTGTATAGTTTGTACTAAGCGAGCACTGAATCTTGCTACCTGGTTACCTGGTTACCTGGTTACCTGGTTACCTGGTTACCTGGTTACCTGGTTACCTGGTTACCTGGTTACCTGGTTACCTGGTTACCTGGTTACCTGGTTACCTTGTTACCTGGTTACCTGGTTACCTGGTTACCTGGTTACCTGGTTACCTGGTTACCTGGTTACCCTGTATAGTTTGTACTGAGCGAGCACTGAATCTTGCTACCACAAGTGACGATGTATTGAAGTGTTACTTTGACAGTTCTGGTTTTGCAAACCTCCCGTCGTTATATTGTACGCTCTTTCCTTCCACTCTAGTCACAATTCCTTTCCTTGTCTTAATCCTTTCTTGGTGTTTGTCGCACATTTCTGCTGAGCTTGAATCTCTCAATTATAGTATTACCTCGGTTTTACACCAGTTCTACTGTTGTTTTAGTACTACTAATTTAGAAGGACAACCTTCCCTGTTCTCTGCCTAATATACGGGATGTAGATTGTAGAGGTAGAAGGGGGCAGGTCCTGTGGTGGCCATGGCAACGTATTGTAGAGGTAGAAGGGGCAGGTCCTATGGTGGCCATGTAGAGGTAGAAAGGGGCAGGTCCTGTGGTGGCCATGTAGAGGTAGAAGGGGCAGGTCCTGTGGTGGCCATGGCAACGTACAATGCGGTCTATAACTATGTGATCCTACTCGACCTCATATTGACTGATGTTTGCCCTTATCAAGGAGGTTCCATAGTAACGCACGGGTTATCGTTTTATGCTACAAAATATAATTCTAAAATCTTAACTGTGGAAGTGCTTTAGAAACTAATCATACTTGATAAACGTGATCTGGAGCACAGTCTAGGTTGTGGTTTGCAGTCTGGATCTGAAGTTAAGCAAGCTGTCAGCCCCTCCTTCGTCAGTGCAGTTTTGTCACGTGATAAACATCTGCTTTCTTATTGGCTGCCTGCCATATCGTGATCTAACATCTGCTTTCTTATTGGCTGCCTGCCGTATCGTGATCTAACATCTGCTTTCTTATTGGCTGCCTGCCATATCGTGATAAACATCTGCTTTCTTATTGGCTGCCTGCCATATCGTGATCTAACATCTGCTCTTTGATTGGCTGCCTGCCAAATCTGAGCTCTCTGATTGGTTCATATTGACAGCCTAATTACCTAGAAATATTTTTATTGAGGCACTTATGTTCTACATGTTAGAGTTTTAGTAGCTGCAAGTGACGTTTTGTGACGTCATGTCACGAGGTGTGACGTCACGTGGTGCGATGTCACGTGGAGTGACGTCACGTGGTGTGACGTGCCACTTGACATACTCTATTTCATATGTAGTGCTTGTTTTTAACAGCTGTCTTTGCACTTCTTTCAAACGAGTACAATTCCATTCTGTTGAAGTGTTGTGTGTCTCTTGTAGTAGTGACGTCATGTCACGTGGTGTGACGTCATGTCACGTGGTGTGATGAAACGTGTCTCTTGTATTAGTACAGTTAGTTGTCTATTGATACACACGGCACTCTGCACTGTAAATGTTTGCTTTGTAATAAGTTGTAGTAACTGTTATAAGTTGAGAGCTTCTCTTTGATAATATCTTGTATCTCTTAGTTAGATAGTGTATCTCTTAATGTGGGAGTTAATTAGTGTGGGAAAGTTGTTGGAAATTGGGAAATTTCGGTTATTTGGACGCTTCAAAAACAATGTTCGTGAACCCCAACTCAATTCATCATTAAAGTGTAATTTGTTTTGTTAAATCGTTAAATTCTCGTTCTAATCCGAAATAAGCAGCCTGTCGATGACAAAACCGTAAAACTTGGCACTGATATCTGATTGGTCGCTTTGCGTCACGTGATACGAATACTGTGCACTGATTGGTTGCTTTGCGTCACGTGATACGAATACTGTGCTCTGATTGGTCGCTTTGCGTCACGTGATACGAATACTGTGCTCTGATTGGTCGCTTTGAGTCACGTGATACGAATACTGTGCTCTGATTGGTCGCTTTGAGTCACGTGATACGAATACTGTGCTCTGATTGGTCGCTTTGTGCTGGAGATATGTTGGACAATCGACCGAGTAACCACACCGTAAGTAACTCCACAGTGAGGTGTGGTTTAACTGTAAAGTAACCCCCCCCCCGGGGGAGTAGTTTCCACTACCTGTCACTGTTTAATCAGTAGTCAATGACTAGACAGGGTTATTGAAAATTACAAAGAATAAAATGGCGTCTGGACTTGGGACCAGCTCATAGTACATTTCATTAATGCCCTCTTTAATGTTTAGAACTTATCACGGGTCGTGTTTAGTTCTACACATTTTGTTCTGAAATAGAAACCAGAGTGATAAAAGTGCTAAATAATAAAAGTGCTACAGAATCAGCTGACCCGAGGCCGGAGCTAACAGTAGTAGTACAGTTAGCTGTACGTACTGTAAACAGTACGTGACTGCGTGTTTTATCTCTGGACTACACATTAAACTTGACCTGAGCTAATAGTACGTGTTCTGTATCAGAATATTAAACTTGACGACATTTATTCCTGGAATGTAATTTGTAATATTTACAAAAATAACAATTTGTGAATTGAACTGAAAATGCTGTGCTCTGATTGGCTGAAACAGAGTTCTTGCACTTCACAGACAGTGGAATTTACGTAAGTATGTTGCAAAAGGAATGTTACCATAGTCACCCAGTAAACACAAGTAGTAACCCGGGAAACGCACGCTAATTCCCGGGTCAGTGGAATTGTCAGATAAACACCTTGTTTAAACTGAAGATACTGTCAACTGGTACTTGAGCATGTTAATGGTTGGTTGTTTGTACCGAGTGTACCAGGTACAGGTACACACTGTGTAGTACACAGTGTGTACCCACTGTGTGTACCCACTGTTTACCCACTGTGTAGTACACTGTGTAGTACCCACTGTGTAGTACCCAGTGTGTGTACCCACTGTTTACCCACTGTGTAGTACACAGTGTGTACCCACTGTGTGTACCCACTGTTTACCCACTGTGTAGTACACTGTGTGTACCCACTGTTTACCCACTGTGTAGTACCCAAAAAAAACTTGGTACTGATATCTGATTGGTCGCTTTGCGTCACGTGATACGAATACTGTGCTCTGATTGGTCGCTTTGCGTCACGTGATACGAATACTGTGCACTGATTGGTCGCTTTGCTTCACGTGATACGACTGGAGATATGTTGGACAATCGACCGAGTAACCACACCGTAAGTAACTCCACAGTGAGGTGTGGTTTAACTGTAAAGTAACCCCCCACCCCCGGGGGAGTAGTTTCCATTACCTGTCACTGTTTAATCAGTAGTCAATGACTAGACAGGGTTATTGAAAATTACAAAGAATAAAATGGCGTCTGGACTTGGGACCAGCTCATAGTACATTTCATTAATGGGCTCCTGGGGGAGTAGTTTCCACTATCTGTTAAATGTGTAGAACTAATCACGGGTCGTGTTTAGTTCTACACATTTTGTTCTGAAATAGAAACCAGAGTGATAAAAGTGCTAAATAATAAAAGTGCTACAGAATCAGCTGACCCGAGGCCGGAGCTAACAGTAGTAGTACAGCTAGCTGTACGTACTGTAAACAGTACGTACCTGCGTGTTCTATCTCTGGACTACACATTAAACTTCACCTGAGCTAACAGTAGTAGTACAGCTAGCTGTACGTACTGTAAACAGTACGTGACTGCGTGTTCTATCTCCTGTATCAGAACATTAAACTTGACCAGAGCTAATAGTACGTGTTCTGTATCAGAACATTAAACTTGACGACATTTATTCCTGGAATGTAATCTGTAATATTTACAAAAATAACAATTTGTGAATTGAACTGAAAATACTGTGCTCTGATTGGCTGAAACAGAGTGCTTGCTACCTAACACTTCACAGACAGTGGAATTTACGTAAGTATGTTGCAAAAGGAATGTTACCATAGTTACCCAGTAAACACAAGTAGTAACCCGGGAAACGCACGCTAATTCCCGGGTCAGTGGAATTGTCAGATAAACACCTTGTTTAAACTGAAGATACTGTCAACTGGTACTTGAGCATGTTAATGGCTGGTTGTTTGTACCGAGTGTACCAGGAACAGGTACCCACTGTGTACCAGGTACTGTGTAGCACACAGTGTAGCAGTGTGTACCCACTGCAACTGTACCCACTGTGTAGTACACAGTATGTACCCACTGTGTAGTACACAGTGTGTAAACAGTGGGTACACACTGTGTAGTACACACTGTGTAGTACACACTGCAACTGTACCCACTGTGTAGTACACAGTATGTACCCACTGTGTAGTACACAGTGTGTAGTACACACTGTGTACTACACAGTGTGTACCCACTGCAACTATACCCACTGTGTAGTACACAGTGTGTACCCACTGCAACTGTACCCACCGTGTAGTACACAGTATGTACCCACTGTTTACCCACTGTGTAGTACACAGTATGTACCCACTGCAACTGTACCCACCGTGTAGTACACAGTGTGTACCCACTGCAACTGTACCCACTGTGTACCTGCTCCTATCTCGTAGTGTGCCTGCTCGGGAGGTTCCAATACTGTAATACTTACAATTAAACTGAGTTGAAAATATGAATTTAAAATAAAAGTTACCTCTCCATTATGGGTAATATTATTAACTTTTAAAATTGTAAATATTTCCAAACGTAAACGTGGTCTTACATAAACTATAAGTAGATACGTACTGTTAGTACGTACTTACACTGTTGGTAGGTATGTTAATCTACCGTTGGGTAACTTTATCACTTAGGTGGTTGAAATACTGTGCACCGATTGGTTAAAATATGTCAGGTGGTTGAAATACTGTGCTCTGATTGGTTAATATATGTCAGGTGGTTGAAATACTGTGCTCTGATTGGTTAATATATTTCAGGTGGTTGGAATACTGTGCTCTGATTGGTTAATATATTTCAGGTGGTTGGAATACTGTGCTCTGATTGGTTAATATATTTCAGGTGGTTGAAATACTGTGTGCTGATTGGTCAATAATCAATATATTTCAGGTTTCTACGTATATCACGTGGGTAAACAACCAGCTAGCACGAGGTGTGAACACTCAGCCCATATCTAACCTGGAGAGGGGAATAAGTGACGGAGTAACTCTGCCTCACTTGCTTCAGATACTCGGTTAGTTCAAATACTCGGTTAGTAATACCTCACTACAAATACTCGGTTAGTAATAACTCACTACAAATACTCGGTTAGTAATAACTCACTACAAATACTCGGTTAGTAATAACTCACTACAAATACTCGGTTAGTAATACCTCACTACAAATACTCTGTTAGTAATAACTCACTACAAATACTCGGTTAGTAATAACTCACTACAAATACTCGGTTAGTAATACCTCACTACAAATACTCTGTTAGTAATAACTCACTACAAATACTCGGTTAGTAATAACTCACTACAAATACTCGGTTAGTTTCGGAGTTCTTCTTTCTTATACATTCTTATCATGTATGTGACTTATAACGTTTGACAGATGAATGTTGTCAAGTAACATCGCTATTGTTTTATGTATTATATTATTAGTAGTAGTAGAAGAGTAGAAGAGTTGAAACAAATCACGTGATTTTCTGAACTTACCGTCCCTAATCCTGATAACAAACCTGTCCCAGAACCTACAAGAACTACGGGATACTAGGTATCTACTTAACAAACTATAACCTGTCCCCCCAGAACCTACAAGAACTATGGGATACTAGGTATCTACTTAACATGTCAATGTTGCTCTATAAGTTTACTATTCTGTCAGGAGAGGAAGCAGTCCCGGAGGTTGTGATCCCTCCTAAAACTGAGGCTCTGAGAAAACAGAACATCAGGCTATGTTTCCAGTACCTACAACAGCGACACATCCACCCCAGAAACAGCACTGCACCAGGTTACATATCTTTACTTTTTAGTATTAGGTTGGTTGTGTAGTAACTATAGTAACCTGATGTAATAACTATAGTAACCAGATGTAGTAACTATAATAACCAGATGTAGTAACTATAGTAACCAGATGTAGCAACTATAGTAACCAGATGTAGTAACTATAGTAACCAGATGTAGTAACTATAGTAACCAGATGTAGTAACTATAATAACCAGATGTAGTAACTATAGTAACCAGATGTAGTAACTACAGTAACCAAATGTAGTAACTATAGTAACCAGATGTAGTAACTATAGTAACCAGATGTAGTAACTATAGTAACCAGATGTAGTAACTATAGTAACCAGATGTAGTAACTACAGTAACCAAATGTAGTAACTATAGTAACCAGATGTAGTAACTATAGTAACCAGATGTAGTAACTATAGTAACCAGATGTCCAGATGTAGTAACTATAGTAACCTGGTAGTGTAATAACTATAGTAACCAGATGTAGTAACTATAGTAACCTGGTAGTGTAGTAACTATAATAACCTGGTAGTGTAGTAACTATAGTAACCAGATGTAGTAACTATAGTAACCAGATGTAGTAACTACAGTAACCAGATGTAGTAACTATAGTAACCTGGTAGTGTAGTAACTATAGTAACCAGATGTAGTAACTATAGTAACCAGATGTCCAGATGTAGTAACTATAGTAACCTGGTAGTGTAGTAACTATAGTAACCAGATGTAGTAACTATAGTAACCTGGTAGTGTAGTAACTATAGTAACCTGGTAGTGTAGTAACTATAGTAACCAGATGTAGTAACTATAGTAACCAGATGTAGTAACTACAGTAACCAGATGTAGTAACTATAGTAACCTGGTAGTGTAGTAACTATAGTAACCAGATGTAGTAACTATAGTAACCTGGTAGTGTAGTAACTATAGTAACCTGGTAGTGTAGTAACTATAGTAACCAGATGTAGTAACTATAGTAACCAGATGTAGTAACTATAGTAACCAGATGTAGTAACTATAGTAACCAGATGTAGTAACTATAGTAACCAGATGTAGTAACTATAGTAACCAGATGTAGTAACTATAGTAACCAGATGTAGTAACTACAGTAACCAGATGTAGTAACTATAGTAACCTGGTAGTGTAGTAACTATAGTAACCAGATGTAGTAACAATAGTAACCAGATGTAGTTACTATAGTAACCAGATGTAGTTACTATAGTAACCTGGTAGTGTAGTAACTATAGTAACCAGATGTAGTAACTATAGTAACCAGATGTAGTTACTATAGTAACCAGATGTAGTTACTATAGTAACCAGATGTAGTAACAATAGTAACCAGATGTAGTTACTATAGTAACCAGATGTAGTAACTATAGTAACCAGATGTAGTAACTACAGTAACCAGATGTAGTAACTATAGTAACCTGGTAGTGTAGTAACTATAGTAACCAGATGTAGTAACAATAGTAACCAGATGTAGTTACTATAGTAACCAGATGTAGTTACTATAGTAACCTGGTAGTGTAGTAACTATAGTAACCAGATGTAGTAACAATAGTAACCAGATGTAGTTACTATAGTAACCAGATTTAGTAACTATAGTAACCAGATGTAGTAACTATAGTAACCAGATGTAGTAACTATAGTAACCAGATGTAGTAACTACAGTAACCAGATGTAGTAACTATAGTAACCTGGTAGTGTAGTAACTATAGTAACCAGATGTAGTAACAATAGTAACCAGATGTAGTTACTATAGTAACCAGATGTAGTTACTATAGTAACCTGGTAGTGTAGTAACTATAGTAACCAGATGTAGTAACAATAGTAACCAGATGTAGTTACTATAGTAACCAGATGTAGTAACAATAGTAACCAGATGTAGTTACTATAGTAACCAGATGTAGTAACTATAGTAACCAGATGTAGTTACTATAGTAACCAGATGTAGTAACTATAGTAACCAGATGTAGTAACTATAGTAACCAGATGTAGTAACTATAGTAACCAGATGTAGTAACTATAGTAACCTGGTAGTGTAGTGGCGACATTGCACGGCTCCCAATCTGGAGACCCAGGTTCAAATACCAGTCAAGTCGTTATACACATTAGTTTACATAAAGTTTAAATCTACTAACTACACTTCTAAGTGTTCAAGTTGTCCCTAGCAGATATCTGGAGGGTGTGATTTAATGTCTAGTTAATATTGGTTAAACGGGTTCCTGTTAGTTGCTTTAACGCGTGCTGCAACCTGTTCTAGTAGTGCTGCAACCTGCACAGTGTGGGCAGGTTCTAAAAACAGCCCTGCAAAATACAGGCAGATAAAGACTTAAAGAGTAACCGAGCACTACACACTATACACAGTGAGCTGTCGTCACGCTGTTTCAAGCTTGTCTAACTGTGCCACAGTACATAACCCTGATAAAGTACATATCAGCATTTAGTAACGTGATGTTGCCATGGTAACGTCACAATGCAGATCTACTGTCGGAAAAACACTTCTAGTTTTAAGTCCTCAGTTGGGTTTTATGTTACGGTGTTTTTACTCACAGGGTTACTAACTGTCACTGGTATGTGCTCCTGATATGTTGTTGTGATTTGTTCCTGTTGTGAAGTATCTGTTGCTTTAACGCCACTCTCACTTTAGTGAAGTTACTCTAGTTATATTGCTATAGTGATCGTTGCTAAAGTTGGATTGCTACAGTGATTGTTGCTATAGTGATTAGTGGGGTTGTCATAGTGATTCGACATGGAGAAATTGATGGCGTGGCTTGTTGCACCCCTGTCTGTAGTCATGATCATGTGGGGTAATTAACAATTAGTTAATTGATTATAATTTACTCAACACATATTTCCACAATTAAGTCAATGTAACGGTGTTGCTGTAATTATTTGTTCCTCAAATTCACTATAGTAACCAAATTTAGTAACAATAGTAACCAAATATAGTAACTATAGTAACCAAATTTAGTAACAATAGTAACCAAATATAGTAACTATAGTAACCAAATGTAGTAACTATAGTAACCTCCTTTTTCAGACGTATCTAACGGTAACGTGAAGTGTATAATGAGGCTAATGTTAGCGCTCGCAGCCAACTTCAAGACTTATCGGCCAGACTCCAGGTCTGTAACACTTGTAACACTTGTTGTTTCATTGCAAACTCTGTAAGCACCTGTAACACTTGTAACACTTGTAACACTTGTAACACTTGTTGTTTTATTGCAAACTCTGTAAGCACAACATTTGGACCCCCAAGTGGTGTCAAAAACGTGAATTAAATAGGTAATAATTATTTTAGTCTCTTGAGTCTTGCAACCATTTTAGGGTTATACGGGTTCCTGCTAGTAACTAAAAACAGCGAGTAAATTATGGTCATTAAATTTGGTAATTAATTAGTCTCCCTAATTACTGGCCGGTTACTAACAATAATAATATTAATAGATACTTATTAATATCTTCAGTTGTTGATTTACGTTTACGTTTACAATTAATAAATAATTAATCATGGTCATTAAATGGTAAATAATTAGTCTCCCTAATTAATTAATATTGGTTACGTTTACAATTAATTAATAGGATTATTCCTCAGGGCTATTGGCTACGTCTGTAAGAACTCAGAACACCCCAGTAACGGAAACATGGTATCGCACGACAGTAACATAGGTATGTTACCAATAACCATAGTAACTAAGTAACCATATGAACTAAGTAACCATAATAACTTTGTTTCTCTGTGGTATAGAAATGTATATGTTTATATTTATTGAGCTTATTTTCATAGTGTTCAACTCCATTTATACATTGGTTCTTAATTCTATTAATAGCTTCTTACTTTCTGTTTTATACTTTAAATCTTCTGTTGATGAGTATCGACAAACAATTATAAAATTATTATAAAATTATTATTCCGACACTTTATTTCCTCGTCTTCGTACAAGTTTTAAAAGTAGATTTGAAAGTTATTCCGGTAGGTAGAAAGTTGGTAGAGTAGCACGATGAAAGGAAACTATTTGCATTGCCTGCGGAGGGTCTAGTAACGTTGTAACATTGTAACTACACCACGTGACACATAGCATTGCCTGCGGAGGGTCTAGTAACGTTGTAACATTGTAACCCTCCGCAGGCAATGCTACACCACGTGACACATAGTGGGATTCTTGACATACTAACAGAGTATCAGCTCAGCCAGATTCTAACGGCTTGTAAGGATTGAGATCATAAAGTTGCCCTATACTGGATATTGTCACCGCGCATTTGCACGTGCAGCCACTACACACGTGTAGTTTTACTTTGCGCATAACTTGCACGTGCAGTTTTACATTGCGCGCATTTCCACGTGCAGCCACTGCTACAGCTGATAGGAATACACAAGGAATACAAGGAATACAAATTTAAAATCTTAAGCTACAATAGTAACTGTTAAGATAATAACAATATCATAAGATTTGAATTTATTATATTAATATAACTTAAACTAAAGTGAAACATAAAGATTTTGACAAGAAATATTTTGTTTACAATCGCCTTGGTAATGCTGTAATGCTTGAGCCAGGCCACTTTGCACTCGTTGTTGCGCGAAAAGAAACAAAAGCGCTGGTACAGTGATTTTCAGTGTTCATGTACTGGCCAGAGAGTCGACGAATTTCTTGCGGTTGTTAAAACACGTAGTGGCAAATCTAGCAACGACTCTCGTGAGGTGGACTTGACTTTCATTCGTGATTAATTCAATGATTTCACTGTTGTTGCTGATGAATTTGATCACGTTTGCTCCAGGGATGACAGTGTAAACAGAACAAGATGACGCAGATGGTTTGATTGAATTTGATATGATTGATTGGATCTTGTCTCGGACTTTTCGCCTCGATGCAGCGTTAAGATCACAATGGTTAAGGAAGTGATCTTCATTCTCAATAATACCAGAACCTAAGACTATATTGCACCAGGAGCATATTCGCTCATCGCGAGGAGTTTGATTATATCGGCCAAGTTCAATTTCGAGTCGATGTGCACTGATCCGCAGTCTTGTGATATTAGCACGGTCTGCATATTTAATGACACTGTCTAGGTAATACTCTTTGTTAAATTTGGATTTTAGGTCACGATAGAATTCTAATTTCCGAGAAGTGTTGATACAGGACCCCCAATATTCTCTAAAGCTACTTTTCAAAGTTTTAGTAATGACGTGTGGTGTGAATATTTTACTCCCGATGGGTTGTGTTGATTGCGGAGGAATTCGTTTCTTGAAACCGTTGTGAATAAGAAAGTCCTCTTTTGGTGGTTTTGCGATACTCGGGTTACTTTCGAAAATTGACTTGGAGTGATTGTTTTTGAGTGTGCGGTAGGCTGTGACATGATCGGTAGAGAAACATGGGTCTAGCGCGAGGACAGGCTCCAAACCTCTGTACCAGTCCAATTTCATGTTCATCTGTTCTTTGAAAGCTAAGGATACAAGGGAGTTATCTTTGAGATTTTTCAAGCGTTGGGTATATTTGAGAGTGAGGTTAATACATTCATAGATTAATGGGTAGCGGCCTGACTCACCCCAGACGCCTGCGTTACTGGTTTTACGATTTACACCCAGTGACCATTTAAGAAAGTGAAGGTGAACTTTTTCGCTGTTCAGAAGACTAATTTTCTTGAGGATACTAGTTTGAAATTTTGTTTTTGTGTCGGGATCCATATTGAGATCGACTTGTTTTGTTATGTGTTTTATGATAGCCATATTAGGTGTGTAAATAGGCGCTCCGTAAAGAACGATAGGTTTAATAAGAGCGTCAAAGAGTGTTGTTAGAGAACGGAATGATAATTTGGATTTGTTTACTGAGCTTTTCATGCCATAAAGTGCACGCATGGCTTTCTTTTTGAGCTCAGTTCGGGCATTTGTGAATGTGCCGGATTTGTGTATTTCGATTCCTAGATAACAGTATGACTCGACTTCTTCTAACAAGTGATTACCTATTTTGAGGGGAACCGGCTGATAATTATCGAAGCGGGAATTAAATTTCATGAGTTTAGTTTTATCTGCATTAATTTCGACGCCCCATTCCAAGCAGAAATTGTTCAAAGCATCGAGTTGCTTTTGGAGGGTTTTGGGGTCCAGTGCCAAGAGTATCAGATCATCTGCCCATAGTAAGTGACTGATAAGTTGGTTCATTAGTTTTGGACAGTTATCAAATTCTAGTCGAGGGGAAAGATCTCTAATGTATATTTTAAAAAGATCAGGGGAAAGTGGATGACCCTGTTCAGTTCCTTTATTGATATCAAATTTTTCGCTGACAAATCCAGATAGTTTTATCTGGCCAGTGGAATTTTTATACATATGTTTAAGAACATTAAATGATTTGCCAGTGATACCTAGTTTAGCTAACTTTAAGAAAAGAGCTTCACGACAAACAGAGTCGAAAGCTTTCCGGAAGTCCACGAAAACAGCATAGACGGGAACCTTGAGCTTTTTGTATTTAGACGTAATGGTGTTGAGTGTGAGTATGTGGTCATATGTTTGAGCTCCTTTAGCGAAGCCAAGTTGATTTATGGGGTCCGGGTTGTATTCATTTTTGAACTTGATTATCCTGTTTAGCATAATGGTCGAGAATAGTTTCCCGATTGTACTACTCACAGCAATTGCTCTGTAATTGTCGGGATTATCTTTGTCGCCTTTTTTGTGTAGGGGTGTTATAATGCTGTTGTTCCACGGGTAAGTTCCAGTGTCCAAACAGCGGTTAAATACTTTGCAAAGGAGTTGTGTATTTGTTGTGGACAAGGTCTTCAGTATTTCATTGCATATCATATCCTCCGAGGAACTTTTGCCGTTTTTGAGTGAAGAGAGCGCAGTAGATATTTCGTCCACAGAGATCTGGCCATTGAGTATTGATTGTGCAGGGGATGGTTGGCAATTATTGTTAATAGCCTCTGCATTTTGAAGCATTTCTTCCTTATTCTCTACAGTTATGGTGCTATGTGCATTGGCATAAAGTTTACCAAAGAATTTTTGAAAGTTGTCCATGTCATGGCAATCAAATTTGTCAACTCTTCCTTTAAATTTTTTCAGTTTTTTGAATTGTTTCCAGTTTAGAATTTTACCAGATTCGATATCTGTATTCAGTTTGTCAAGATATTTGTTTTTGGTACGGTCAATTAAACTTTTGTACGTATTTTTTACTTGGTAAAAATTTTTTAGAAGATAATCGCTATTGGGGAAATCAGAAACAATTTGAGCTGCACGAATACAGGATATTTTAGCTTCTCTAGTGGCTTGTGTGAACCAGGGTTGTTTATTTATGGATCCCTTTTTGGTTATTTTGGGATGTTTGGTCTTTTGGAGACATTTGTCTGCTATTTTGTTCAAATGAACTGTGATATCTTCGTTCAATTTGTATGTACCTAGGAGATCTTCGGGATAATTTGTTTCTAAGAGGGTTTTGGAACATTCTTCCACAAGTGGGTCCAACATTGTATCCCGTAAGCTTGAAAGGCTATCAGGATTTATTTTGTAACGAAGTGGGGCTCGAGCGTAAGTTTCATGGAGTGCCTTTGTGTTTACAAGAATGTTGGAAGGAGAGAAGTTGAGTGCCAGGAGTAGTGGTTTATGATCAGAAAAGCAAGTGAACGGCTGGATTGTCATATGACATACATACTTACTGCAGTTTGGTGATATAATAAAGTAGTCAACAACGCTGGCACCGCTGGTCTGGATACAAGTGAAGTCACCATATGAGTCTCCTAAAGTTCTCCCATTGAGAATATGGAGTTCATTATTGACAAGCATTTCTAGAAAGGGTCTTTTGTAATTGTTCGACTTTTTGTCCTTTGAGTTCCTGGTTGGGAGTTCTTGGGGGGTGTAGTCTTCTGGCAGGGGAATGAAGCTCTCGTAGCCACATTTCTCTCCTTTGATGAAGTCAATGTCATGGCCGATACGCGAGTTGAAGTCACCACAGGTAATAACATCGCCTTTACTTAGAAGAACATTAAGAAATTGGTCCAGTTCACGGATGGTGTCAAAGCCCGAAATATCTGAGTTTTTAGAGGAAGTGTTAGCTGGCTTAATGTATGAGTTAACAATGAATATATCATTATCTACGCCAAAGTAATTTTTTTCAAGTTTACAGGCAACAACATCTTCAATTGTGGATTTTTCAAGTTTTACGCCTTTGGCTATTTCGTTTTGGACCATGATGCATACGCCACCATGTTTTTTGTCCCGGCGGGTTTTATTGAAGGACCTGAAGCCCGAGTGTTTAACCGGTTGTCTTATTTCTTGAAGGCAGACAAAAGGAAACTTGTCAAAGACGGCACAAAATTGAGGGTCATCAAACTTAGAGCCAAAATTTGTATTTGTTGATTGGATGATATGACGTCACAACACGTGATATGCTGACGTCACGAAATCTCCTTTTAAAGTTTCGCCTAAGGACGGATTCTGTGAATATTTGCAATATCGCTGTCTGATTTGTCTAGGCAACCTATTCTTAGTGGATATCTGTATTCTGTACGTGGTATGGGTATTAATGAGAGCTCGGTGCATAAAGCCAGTAGAAGAATGGAATGCACTATCAGGATATGTTACTATTTCTATATTATATTCTAACCAAAGTTACCTCAGTAGCCATTGTAACCATTACTAGTAACTTAGTAACCATAGTAACCATGGTAACCATAGTAACCATAGTAACCGTACAGGTGATACTGATGATATGGGATGGATGTATGACCAAGTAATAGACACAAGGAAGCAGCTAGAAAGTCTAAAACACCTGTTACTCAAGGATATTACAGATGACGAGAAGGTTACTTATGACTAGATGTAGTGATGTACTATACTTTATCCGATTTCAAACAAGAACTTGCTTTTTGCGTTATGTTCTTTAGAAGATAAAATAGATACTTTTTAATTTATCTAAGATATAACCGACAACATCGGTTTCGTCGAGCGTAAACAATAATTTCTGTGAAAATAAGGCTCTCAAATGAGCAGCCTATTTCATTTATTGCTCGTCATGTGGGCATCACGTGACAGTGGTATTATAGTTAACCACGTGTTCTAGTTAACCACGTGTTCTAGTTAACCACGTGTTCTAGTTAACCACGTGTTCTAGTTAACCACGTGTTCTAGTTAACCACGTGTTATTATAGTTAACCACGTGTTCTAGTTAACCACGTGTTCTAGTTAACCACGTGTTCTAGTTAACCACGTGTTCTAGTTAACCACGTGTTCTAGTTAACCACGTGTTATTATAGTTAACCACGTGTTCTAGTTAACCACGTGTTCTAGTTAACCACGTGTTATTATAGTTAACCACGTGTTATAGTTAACCACGTGTTCTAGTTAACCACGTGTTCTAGTTAACCACGTGTTCTAGTTAACCACGTGTTCTAGTTAACCACGTGTTCTAGTTAACCACGTGTTCTAGTTAACCACGTGTTCTAGTTAACCACGTGTTCTATTTAACCACGTGTTCTAGTTAACCACGTGTTCTAGTTAACCACGTGTTCTAGTTAACCACGTGTTCTAGTTAACCACGTGTTCTAGTTAACCACGTGTTCTAGTTAACCACGTGTTCTAGTTAACCACGTGTTCTAGTTAACCACGTGTTCTAGTTAACCACGTGTTCTAGTTAACCACGTGTTCTAGTTAACCACGTGTTCTAGTTAACCACGTGTTCTAGTTAACCACGTGTTCTAGTTAACCACGTGTTCTAGTTAACCACGTGTTCTAGTTAACCACGTGTTCTAGTTAACCACGTGTTCTAGTTAACCACGTGTTCTATTTAACCACGTGTTCTATTTAACCACGTGTTCTAGTTAACCACGTGTTCTAGTTAACCACGTGTTCTATTTAACCACGTGTTCTAGTTAACCACGTGTTCTATTTAACCACGTGTTCTAGTTAACCACGTGTTCTAGTTAACCACGTGTTCTATTTAACCACGTGTTCTAGTTAACCACGTGTTCTAGTTAACCACGTGTTCTAGTTAACCACGTGTTCTAGTTAACCACGTGTTCTATTTAACCACGTGTTCTATTTAACCACGTGTTCTAGTTAACCACGTGTTCTAGTTAACCACGTGTTCTAGTTAACCACGTGTTCTAGTTAACCACGTGTTCTAGTTAACCACGTGTTCTAGTTAACCACGTGTTCTAGTTAACCACGTGTTCTATTTAACCACGTGTTCTATTTAACCACGTGTTCTAGTTAACCACGTGTTCTAGTTAACCACGTGTTCTAGTTAACCACGTGTTCTAGTTAACCACGTGTTCTAGTTAACCACGTGTTCTATTTAACCACGTGTTCTAGTTAACCACGTGTTCTAGTTAACCACGTGTTCTAGTTAACCACGTGTTCTAGTTAACCACGTGTTCTAGTTAACCACGTGTTCTAGTTAACCACGTGTTCTAGTTAACCACGTGTTCTAGTTAACCACGTGTTCTAGTTAACCACGTGTTCTAGTTAACCACGTGTTCTAGTTAACCACGTGTTCTAGTTAACCACGTGTTCTAGTTAACCACGTGTTCTAGTTAACCACGTGTTCTAGTTAACCACATGTTCTAGTTAACCACGTGTTCTAGTTAACCACGTGTTCTAGTTAACCACATGTTCTAGTTAACCACGTGTTCTAGTTAACCACGTGTTCTAGTTAACCACATGTTCTAGTTAACCACGTGTTCTAGTTAACCACGTGTTATTATAGTTAACCACGTGTTATAGTTAACCACGTGTTCTAGTTAACCACGTGTTCTAGTTAACCACGTGTTCTAGTTAACCACGTGTTCTAGTTAACCACGTGTTCTAGTTAACCACGTGTTCTAGTTAACCACGTGTTCTAGTTAACCACGTGTTCTAGTTAACCACGTGTTCTATTTAACCACGTGTTCTAGTTAACCACGTGTTCTAGTTAACCACGTGTTCTATTTAACCACGTGTTCTAGTTAACCACGTGTTCTAGTTAACCACGTGTTCTAGTTAACCACGTGTTCTAGTTAACCAGGTGTTCTATTTAACCACGTGTTCTAGTTAACCACGTGTTCTAGTTAACCACGTGTTCTAGTTAACCACGTGTTCTAGTTAACCAGGTGTTCTATTTAACCACGTGTTCTAGTTAACCACGTGTTCTAGTTAACCACGTGTTCTAGTTAACCACGTGTTCTAGTTAACCACGTGTTCTAGTTAACCACGTGTTCTATTTAACCACGTGTTCTAGTTAACCACGTGTTCTAGTTAACCACGTGTTCTAGTTAACCACGTGTTCTAGTTAACCACGTGTTCTATTTAACCACGTGTTCTATTTAACCACGTGTTCTAGTTAACCACGTGTTCTAGTTAACCACGTGTTCTATTTAACCACGTGTTCTAGTTAACCACGTGTTCTAGTTAACCACGTGTTCTATTTAACCACGTGTTCTAGTTAACCACGTGTTCTAGTTAACCACGTGTTCTAGTTAACCACGTGTTCTATTTAACCACGTGTTCTATTTAACCACGTGTTCTAGTTAACCACGTGTTCTATTTAACCACGTGTTCTATTTAACCACGTGTTCTAGTTAACCACGTGTTCTAGTTAACCACGTGTTCTAGTTAACCACGTGTTCTAGTTAACCACGTGTTCTAGTTAACCACGTGTTCTAGTTAACCACGTGTTCTAGTTAACCACGTGTTCTAGTTAACCACGTGTTCTAGTTAACCACGTGTTCAGGTGTTACTGGACGAGGTGGGAGTTGAAGTGAGTGAGCCTGTTTGTAATAGCTGTCAGGATACTTCAGAGAAGATGAGATCACTGGAGCATCTCGTCACGCAACGAGACCAGCAGGTACTATATAGACACAAGTAACCATAGTAACCATAGTAACTGGAGCATCTCGTCACGCAACGAGACCAGCAGGTAACCATAGTAACCATAGTAACCATAGTAACCATAGTAACCATAGTAACTGGAGCATCTCGTCACGCAACGAGACCAGCAGGTAACCATAGTAACCATAGTAACCATAGTAACCATAGTAACTGGAGCATCTAGTCACGCAACGAGACCAGCAGGTACTGGGCACTTGCCAGGGCCTTAGGATATTCGTTTCATTATCCCCGATATTCGCGAGCTTTTACATTTATAATACACAGTAAAATAACAGGTGAGTTTCATCGCTAAATAGTGCACTTTTGTGGCATATTGAACAGTATTCCGGCACAATCCCTGCTAAAAACGTTCCCGATTGCTTGCGGAGTATTAGTAATCCTGTGCCTCGTGACACTAAAATAACTGTAATATTGCAGCTGATGGAGCTAAAGGCGGAGGTGCTGCACTTGAAGACACGTGACAAGTATATGACCAATGAGTTGGACGAGAGGAACGTGCAGATCACTAAACTTAAACTACTGCTCGAGCGAAAACAGGTGGGTCATTTACTAAAAGCTTCTACTCACACACACGCTCCCTCACGTGACGTCTCACTCTCCCTCGCGTGACGTCACACGCTCCCTCGCGTGACGTCACACTCTCCCTCGCGTGACATCACACTCTCACTCGCGTGACGTCACACTCTCCCTCGCGTGACGTCACACTCTCCCTCGCGTGACGTCACACGCTCCCTCGCGTGACGTCACACTCTCCCTAGCGTGACGCCACACTCTCCCTCGCGTGACGTCACACGCTCCCTCGTGTGACGTCACAAACTCCCTAGCGCGACGTCACACCTCACGTGATAAAGTCCTCCTCTCTAAGATTAACTCTCTCCCAGGCAGTATCAGACTCCTCAAAGCCGCGCGACAAGAAGGAAGCAAGAGAGAACACTAAAATCCTGTACTATCTGGGCACCTCTACTACTCCTTATCTCTCTTCCTGTCCTAAACCTCTGGGGGAGATATCACTACGCGACTTTAAGAACGTGGTTAACAGGGCCGGTAGATACAGGTTAGTCTCCTCACGCTCACACGTGGTGTGACGTCATGTCACGTGGTGTGACGTCATGTCACGTGGTGTGACGTCATGTCACGTGGTTTATAGGGCCGGTAGATACAGGTTAGTCTCCTCACGCTCACACGTGGTGTGACGTCATGTCACGTGGTGTGACGTCATGTCACGTGGTGTGACGTCATGTCACGTGGTGTGACGTCATGTCACGTGGTTAATAGGGCCGGTAGATACAGGTTAGTACTCACTACTAAGTCTCCTCACGTTCGGCACTTTTAACTTTAATTCGGTACATTATTTAAATGTGTTAGTTGGTTAATTACCTCTTTATAACAGGCGGTAATGTGTTAGTTGGCTAATTACCTGTTAATTACCTCTTCATAACACCCCCCTCTCAGGTACAACTTCAGAACGTTTGATAGAGATGTGGGACCAGTAAAGCAGGAACTAGCAGAGGATGGAGCCCTGTTGCCAGGGTGGGAGGGACGCATTGTCGGCTTCGTGGAGGAACTACCCCCCGGCAATAGTCTCGACCACATCGAAATATAGACACGTGGTGTGACGTCATGTCACGTGGTATGACGTCATGTCATGTGGTGTGATGTCATGTCAAGTGCTGAGAAAAGCACATTTATAACTATTATTAACCATAGGACATTTTGAATCCTACAGAGAAATTGGTTGGAGCGGGTTTAGTGGTTACATGTAACGTGTGCTGTGCAGAAAGCTTTGCTGTAGATCACAAACTGATTTTATCATAGAGAGGTCCGACATAGAAACATAGATCTTAATTTTATATAGTCCCGCGCGTATGTTGTTTTGTCGCACTTGGCACTTGGCCAAACTTCGTGTTATGTCACAAGTCACGTGGCGCAGATTATGAGGCATATTATTACATTAATATGTAATATTCACCTGTAATATTACATTAAAATGTAATATTCACCTGTAATATTACATTAATATGTAATATTCATTAGTCCCTTGAATTCAGAGGTTTTTATTTGTGCTTTATACTGATTTCTTGGCTAACAAATGAACTGATGAATAAATTTGTTAATTTATAGCTAGTTATTTAGAAAATGATAGAGGCTATTTACTAGAGTAGTAGTACTATTACTACTAGGGTAATTATGCTGATTTTATTTAGATTGAATGAACTGATTACTAAAAAGTATTTATTTTGCAAGACTGGGAAATGTGTTAACGTGTCTTTAATTCATGGTAAAATATTTGCGGTGTGCAATTTTGGGGGACCTATTTTACTCCTTTAGATTTATTTATTGTTTCGTTTTTATGCTGTATATTTTGTTAAAAATTGTAAAAAAGTTCCAAGCTCAGTTGAAAAAGGACAGTTAAAATCTTTTGATCTAAATTTATACAAGTCAACCAGAAAAACTGGACGAAGATAACTGGATATTGAATAAAACTAAGTAAAGTAGAAATAACCATAATTAGCTGTTGTTTATGTTCTTTCGTCTTCGAAGACATATATTTTTTAAATAAATTGTCGGTGAAATTAAATAAATGTGGCTAATATTACTGTTATGTTATATAAATCGTGTCCTATCAATATTTTGCTTTGTTCAGTTGATTAAATTAACTTGTATTACTTGTATTACTTAATTTCATCAGTGAAAAGCGCCCACGTGCATATACTCGAGTATTGTATCAAGTCGTGACCCCCATTGCAGCCGCGCACTGTCAATTAAACATATAAGATAATTAATACACAGATCCAGTATTTATTAGTTGCTATGGTTATACGCTCAGTGATTACCTAGTTTTTCTGCACGGGGATATAACAATTAAACACAGATTTAATAGACTCATACTGTACCCTACATTCTATAAAACTACATTCTATAAAACTACATTCTATAAAACTTCAGCTGCAAAATAAAACTACAAAAGGTTGGTTTCATAAGGTAGAAGAGTTTCTTGCTCTCATCAAATTGTTAGCAATTGCCGACTCGTGCACATTATATGTTCGAAACGCTCAGTTTAGGACTTAGGAGTGATTAGTAAACAACTACTGCATGATTTGTGAAAACAAAATTCAGCATCAAAAGTTTAATTCATTCATACCATAAAACCATGATACCAAGAATACCGGACCAGGAATTACATACCAATATCAAAAATCAATAGTTCCCACAGTCAGACAACGAATGAGTTTAAAAATTCCAACAAAATCTTTATAACATCATTGGTAAAACATTTTCGGACATCTTCAGTACCTAATAAAGATAAGGGTTAATACTCCAATTATATCAGAAAGTTATAATTAAAACTAAAGGATGCCAGGTAAAAAGAAGTCGAACTCTCAAAAATGGAATGGGAAGCACTCTAGGTATGGGGGGTTGTGAGGCCCCAACTAGTAGAAAAAACACTAGTCCCTGCATTACATACCAATATCCAGCAAAATCAAGTATTTTTTTCTCCAAACGTGCCCTCCTAGCAGCAGTCCAACTATTTCTGTTGACGTTGAAAAGCTTGACCATGTCTACTATCATCTCGTCTGATATACCAGATTTTGTTATATATTTGTACTTCAAATATATAACAAATAGTTTGAGGAAGCGATGGCGATGTAACTGAGTCATTGTATTTTAATGTTACCATGGGGTGGCCGCATTGTCTCTATTCATCACAGCCCAGGAGTTTTACCGCCTCTAATAATGACAAACAATTGATACTCGATACGTTCTTTGAATGAAATATAATAAACTTGTTACCTAGCAACCGTGTTACAGATAGTCGATACCCTTTACTTGCCTCACAGAGGGTCAATCGATAACTGCAATTACGAGACCTGACAAATAAGTTTATATCATTTGTCTTAGAGTTATTTTTTCGGTTTTGAGTAGAAACATCTAGAAACAAAATTCAATGTCGAAATTCAAAATTCACGGATTTCATCTGAACAGCTTACTTTCAAAACTTTTCGATTGTAGATTTTCAGAATAACCAAGGTTAACGAATAACTGCTGATCAATTAACTTTTGATATTTGGTTAATAATATAACTATCGTGCAGGAATGCTCCCAATGCGATACATAGTCTAGCGAGCCTGATTTTTAGATGCTCGGTCTTAATCGGCCTTTGCAAGATGTACGCTTTCCTGATCCACAAAAGGGTTGGCGAAAGAGATGTTTCTTGCAATTCATTCAATTTCATACCATAAAACCAAGATACCAAAAATACCGGACCTAAAATAATTTAGCATTGCAGGTTCGGGCCAAATTGTTGCCCGCAACAATTGTTGCTGTCACGTGCTATTAGCAACGCGACCACTGACCAATACCCCACCTGAAGATTGTTATTGATTTTGCTGGATTGGTATGTAATCCCTGGATTGAGATATGTTGGCCGCAGTTTAATTTTAATTTATACAATGGGGAAAATGTTAACTTTATCATTAACTTTATCATAAACTGCTTACAAGGGAATATTAGGTTACAATCTCTAATTGAATCATTGCTCTCTGTTGCTATGGTTACATACCTGTTGCTATGGTTGCAAAGAGATTTCTTCTTTAATTGAACCTTGCGAGTAATAAAAGTTGTAAAAGCTGGCTACATTTATTCTAATCAGTGTTGCTATGGTTACATACCTATATCTAGTCATTGACTACTGATACCTTATCAGCTATCATCGCTCTTTTAAATACTAAAATCCTTTAGTCTTTTAATGTAGTAGTGGTGGTATAGTAGTGCCGAGAGTACTAGTAGCATGTCCCGCTTATGACTATAGGTAAAACAGTATTTTGTGGTCTCACTTGAAGCACACGCTCCAGCAGTAGTACTATATACTAGTAGTAGTAGTAGTGGTAGTAGTAGTAGTACTAGTAGTACTAGTAGTAGTGGTAGTACTAGTAGTACTAGTAGTACTAGTAGTAGTACTAGTAGTACTAGTAGTACTAGTAGTAATAGTAGTATTAGTACTAGTAGTACTAGTAGTAGTGGTAGTACTAGTAGTACTAGTAGTACTAGTAGTAGTACTAATAGTACTAGTAGTACTAGTAGTAATAGTAGTATTAGTACTAGTAGTACTAGTAGTAGTGGTAGTACTAGTAGTAAGAGAGAACATCAGTAATAAGGTCCTTAACACAGCAAGATCACTGTCACGCAAAGTTCAGGCTCCTGATGACCAGACATCATTACATCTTCCAATCAGGGTCATATCTACTTATGGTAGTGATGATGATCTGGTGTCTGTGACTAAGAAGTATGAAGAACACCTCTCAAGAACGAGGAGTTTCAGTGAAAGTGACACTGCTGAAACATCCCAAGAGACCTCCTCAACATCCACCACGCCTAGAAAGACAATTTTCAGTTACACAAAGAAAACAGGGCCAAGCCTAAAATCTCGCCTCGTCAAATTGAAAGAACTTGCTTTAGGAGCTCAACATGGCCCAACCAGCAAATGCAATGTGCCAAGATGCAAATGTTGTGAACTTGTCAAAGGCACCCGTGAATTCAAAGTGAACGGCAAGAAGGTTAAAGCTTCCCCTGGAAACTGCCAGAGCTACAACATCATTTATCTGTTCCAATGTAGTGTCTGTGGAAAGGCTTACGTCGGTCGCACAACTCGATCTCTACGGGTTAGGACTGGAGAACATAGGGTCAAATATTACAAACTTTTAAATGGTGATAAGGTAGATGAAACAAGTGATGAATATAGTTTGGGTTTACATTTGTTGGATCATGGTTTTAGACAAAGGGAAGATTTTAACAAAATTTTTAATGTGTCAATTATTGATAATTCTAGTCCTAAAACTTTGGATGTCCGTGAACATAAATATATTCAACTACTCAAGACTTTAAAACCTTTGGGAATTAACACTATAAATCCTTTTGGCCTTCCATTACTCCTAACTTCTTAATTTTAACTTTATAACCGTTTTAAGAGTGTCCAGATTTTTAAAGGAATTTTGGGTTTTACTAACTTTTTACAATTTCTAGGGCTTATGTCACTGAAGATGACGCCTTGCAACATGTTTGACGATAGCCTGTAGATTGATAGTTTGATCTCAGTATTTACAACAATTCATCTAGTTTGATTGATTCAAAGGGAAACAAATTCCTCTGTTACTAGTAGTACTAGTAGTACTAGTAGTAGTAATAGTAGTATTAGTACTAGTAGTAGTAGTAGTGGTACTAGTAGTACTAGTAGTAGTGGTAGTACTAGTAGTAGCTTAGTAGTAGTGGTAGTAGTGGTAGTAGTACTAGTAGTAGTACTAGTAGTACTAGTAGTACTAGTAGTAATAGTAGTATTAGTACTAGTAGTAGTAGTAGTGGTAGTAGTAGCTTAGTAGTAGTAGTGGTAGAATGCTCCGCTCTGATCACCATCAATTAAACTAATACCCTGAGCTGTTATGTGTACTATACTGGTTATTACATAATTAGTAGTACCGCATACAAGGAAGCTAGCAGCTTATTAATATGTAAATTGTAAATGATCTGATTTAGCTGGAAGGGAAGCTAGCAAGCTACTCTATGCATATGCACATTGCACATGGCCCTGGGTGCTCGGGGTAGCTCTTCTTTAAAGCCACACGTGCACTTGGGAACGAGCTACTTTGTTATGGACATTAGTTGTAACGAGCAGGGCTAAAACCAGCAGACTAAGGAACCCTCCTCTCTCCTCTCTCTCTCCTCTCTCCTCCTCCTCTCCCTTCTCTCTATCTCACCTGATCCAGGGTTCTGCGGAGAGCTATTGTCTTTTTACAACGGGGCTCAATCCAGTGCTTAATAGTTGCTATGGTTACACGCGCAGTGCTCATTTAAATACAGAGCGTTCTATGAGTTAACCAAGATCTCCAAAATAACCCTGCAGTACAAAGCCCCTGGACAATGCTTCCTCCTAGACAGTCCTTTTACCTGAGCTAAGCGTCAGAAACACTCAGGTTAGTAACAGTTCTGGCAGGACAAGGAGCAGTTAGAGAGCTGAAAACGGCGCCTCCTGACCTCCATTACAATAGTAGCAGCCTCCATTACCCCGTTCAGAGTTAACCTCTTCCTGGGAGAGCTCCTGCTACTCCCGCCTCACTCACACACCCCTCCGCATCCTCCACACACTCACGCGATAAGGTGTGCGCCTCATCCACAGGGGTCCGCACATCCACAGGTCAGGCGGAGCACAGGGGTCTCAGTAAAGGTGGTCTGCAGACCATCCCAGGAGTCTATATAACAGACAGAATCGGACAAGTTGCTCACAGTTCAGTTTGCAGCAGCGGTTAGGGACTCATGGCGTTTTGGTGCCATCTTTTCGGTACTGACTATCCAAATATTCGGACCGTTATTGCCTTTTACTCTGATTGGATGTTTTTGTTTGAATTTAGATTCATTTTAGCAATTTTATATTTCCTAGTTCAGTACTAAATACTAATGGATGGAAGATGAAGCTCACATATTTGGTTCAAATCACAAGACGACTGTAAAAGACTTGTATCCTTTGAATAAACCCCAACACCCTCCCCGCCCTCCCCCCCCTCCCCCCAATACTCTCCCTAATCTTTCCCTGAAATTTAAAAGTTGACAAATTGGTGGCTACTTTAAAAAAGTAAGTGACATTTCTCTTCTTATTGCTGTAACTAATTTATAACTTATAAACTGTATTTCAATAAAAAAACGTGTTCTTGAAATGTTAACTCTACAAAACTCCCTCTGTGCACAGTGTTGGATGGTTACGACAACCTAGCCAAGCTCGACGACACTATGGTCTTCAAGGTAGGGGGCAGCCCATTGATCACGGAGCTGACTGACCTGAACCTGGAGACGAAGTTAGACACTGCAGTCTGCACTGTTGGAGCCTCTTGTGAACTAAGGATAGCTCTGCCAGAGCCTGACTCACCATACGGAGTCTACAAGATTATCTTGTACGGACCAACTGAGACGAGTGATGTCGCGGGCTGGGAGGTGAGGCTTTGTAAAATAGTAACTACTACAACTACTACCTGTTGCTATGGTTACTACGTGTAAAATAGCAAATAATTTTTGCGTAGTTTTTAGTTGACAATTTTGAAATAGTTAATTTCGTTAATCTGTCTTCCAATAATTCTAACCTACACATCCACACAACTCAGTAACGATAGCAACTAATTCATTTCAGGCCGAGATAAAGCTGCTCGAAGAAGCCCCCGGCAGCAGGAACTCTGATGGGCAACCCTGCTCCGCTGACACAACAACTAGTAGCGGCACAGACTCCTTCACTTTTACTTGTGATCTGAGAACGGCAGCCACTTCAGTCGTTCTTACTACGACCTCCTACAAGGATCTGGCGGAAGTTATAGTGGCTGGCCATTTGTGGAGTAAGTTAGCTTATTAGTTATTATATTACTTACTTTTATATTACTACAAGTTATTATCTTACTTACTTTTACATTACTACAAGTTATTATCTTACTTACTTTTATATTCCTACAAGTTATTATCTTACTTACTTTTATATTACTACAAGTTATTATCTTACTTACTTTAATATTCCCGGGCACCTTTTAAACTACTAAATAACTAAATATAGTATATAGTATATTGTTTTTATAACCTTGTTTTTATTTTCAGCTGAGTTTCCGTGTCCGCCTGGCGAGTACAGTGTCTCCGGAACGTACACCTTGGACACTAGCACCACCTGCAAACCTTGTGAAACAGGTATGTAACCATAGCAACAGGTACGTAACCATAGCAACAGGTACGTAACCATAGCAACAGGTATGTAACCATAGCAACAGGTATGTAACCATAGCAACAGGTATGTAACCATAGCAACAGGTACGTAACCATAGCAACAGGTATGTAACCATAGCAACAGGTATGTAACCATAGCAACAGGTACGTAACCATAGCAACAGGTACGTAACCATAGCAACAGGTACGTAACCATAGCAACAGGTATGTAACCATAGCAACAGGTATGTAACCATAGCAACAGGTACGTAACCATAGCAACAGGTACGTAACCATAGCAACAGGTATGTAACCATAGCAACAGGTATGTAACCATAGCAACAGGTACGTAACCATAGCAACAGGTATGTAACCATAGCAACAGGTACGGAATATTGCATGTTGTCTGTATGTTACAAAAATAAAACCCAATATTTGAGAAAATCAATAAAATAAAATATGAAATTTGAAAAATTACAAGTCAATTTCTTCTTGATCTTCTGGTTCAGACGTTTTCTTTTTCTTTCTTCGCAAAACCACCGACTTTCGTACATTTTAAATATGTCTCGTAGGGTACTTCACTTTACTAAAAATAATATATTCTATTTAATAATATTATTTCACTTAACAACAGTCTGATTACCCCTCCCCAGGTACCTACCAGGACCTCCTCGGACAGAAGTTCTGCCGTCCCTCCCGGTTTGAAAAGATGACACTAACAGACGGTGTGATATCTACCTATCGAGACAGTATAACAGCTCCCTTCACCTGGGGAACTGGAGTTGAAGTGCATGACGTGGTGATCAAGAACATCAACTTTGACGAGTACTCCTCAAAAGCAAGTGGTTCTGATACTGATGAGACGGCGGAAAAAGGAGCATGTGCAGCTACACTCTCCGGGTTAGTTACACTTAGTTAGCTGATCTTAGTTAGTTAAATTTAGTTAGTTAAATTTAGTTATTCTCACTAAGTTAATCTCACTTAGTTAGTTAAATTTTATTAGTCTCAAAAAGTAGGTACTACGACACGAGACATTAAGTAATTACTTCTGTTCAGGTACGAGGATAGTACGTGCGTGTTAAAAGTGAAGGGCGCTACAGTAACCCTTATAGGTGACTCTGACTCGGTCAGCCCTGCTCTTACGGACCAGGACAATACGGGAACTAGTGTCAGGAGTCAGACTTATGTTTTCAAACCGTCCAGTCCGGTTGAAAATGTGAAAAGAATAGAATTCTCCAAGTCCTTTCTTCTGGCGGAACTGGACGTGTACGTAGGTGAGAATGGAAATAATCACTTGTATAATGTATACTCAGTATAGTGTATAGTGTATAATGTATAGTGTATGTACTCAGTATAGTGTATAGTGTATAGTTAGGTTCAATTATTTGAAACATGCTGAAAAAAGAGAAATTGGTTCTTATCAGAAAGATAATGACTTTGTGAGCATGAAATAAAGGTGATAATGCTAATTATTTAGTATCAATAGAATGAGAAACAGAAACTCCTCTTTTCAGCACCAACCAGTGACTATTACCTCCGCTACAACGACGGAACAGGGGCTACAGAAGCCCTGCTCTGTAGTGAGGAATTAGGACCAAATACGAAGGTGGGATTAAGTGAGAAGATTTCTGCAAAAACAGATTTGACATCCTGTGTTCTGTGCCCAGCGGTTAGTTACCATAGTAGCATGTTAGTGTACTGTTTAGTAACCATGGTAACACGATAGTGTACTGTTTAGTAACTATAATAGCATGTTAGTGTACTGTTTAGTAACCATGGTAACACGATAGTGTACTGTTTAGTAACCATGGTAACACGATAGTGTACTGTTTAGTAACTATAATAGCATGTTAGTGTACTGTTTAGTAACCATGGTAACACGATAGTGTACTGTTTAGTAACCATGGTAACACGATAGTGTACTGTTTAGTAACCATGGTAACACGATAGTGTACTGTTTAGTAACCATGGTAACACGATAGTGTACTGTTCTTATGTGTTAGAGCTGATTACAGTATGATTAACGTTAATCCTGATTTATTTCCACAATTGCTGATACCAGCATACCAATATTTCGCTGTTTTAAAAGCAAATTATTTCCAGGGTGCTGAAAAGACGATTGATGTAGATAAAGAGTTCTTTGATAGCAAGATTAAAATGTCCGTGTTTACCTGCGAGCCGTGTGTGGCTGGTAAGTGTTGCTTAATAGTTGGTTACCAAGGTTACATGTGTTGCTTAATAGTTGGTGACCAAGGTTACATGTGTTGCTCAATAGTTGGTGACCAAGGTTACACGTGTTGCTTAATAGTTGGTTACCAAGGTTACATGTGTTGCTCAGTAGTTGGTAACCAAGGTTACATGTGTTGCTTAATAGTTGGTTACCAAGGTTACATGTGTTGCTCAGTAGTTGGTTACCAAGGTTACATGTGTTGCTCAGTAGTTGGTAACCAAGGTTACATGTGTTGCTTAATAGTTAGTAACCAAGGTTACATGTGTTGCTTAATAGTTGGTTACCAAGGTTACATGTGTTGCTTAATAGTTGGTTACCAAGGTTACATGTGTTCCTCAGTAGTTGGTGACCAAGGTTACATGTGTTGCTTAATAGTTGGTTACCAAGGTTACATGTGTTGCTCAGTAGTTGGTTACCAAGGTTACATGTGTTCCTCAGTAGTTGGTAACCAAGGTTACATGTGTTGCTTAATAGTTGGTTACCAAGGTTACATAGTTGATAGCTAGTGGGTAGTATCTGTTGATTAAAACAACTTTCTAACATTCAATAAATGTGTGCACCTAGACATAATATCCAGCAAAGTAACAGTAGTAACTAGTACAGTAGTAGTAGTAGTAGTAGTAGTAGTAAACCCGCGATGGGGTGGCATGTGCCTCAATAAAAATATTACAATCATTTATTATTATATCAATTTATCGTTAAATATTTCAAAAATATCAATAACGTATGGTTGATCCTTCACACTTGGTAAAATATATAAAAATAAAGTTAATCTACACTAAAGAATAAATAATCTATATTATATAAATCAACAATATTAACTCCCCATCTTCTTGTAGTCATTTATCAAAGCGGTAGAAATCCAAGTAATTTTAGTACGCGGTGCGCAAGGAATTTCGTTTTTTAAAAATGTGTAGGCAAGATAAGCCTAAGTGTGGCAGTGAAAATTGAAAAATAAGTTGCAGAATAAATTGCAGTGACTGACTGTCAAATGCATTATCGCAGTTCATTTATTTGACTGCACTAACGTTTAGGATTCTTACAGCTGTTATATTTTGCTAATATTTTGTTTAGAAGTTGTAAAGGACAAAGTTCTTGTCCGTCCACGAAAGGTTTTCTAGGTCAAGTTTTTGTTTGTCCTGTAAGTAACGTACAATGTTGTCCTTGTATGAATTAATAAACTTATCTTGTAACTTAGGTACGTTGAAGGGAAGGATTTTATTTATTTCGTTTATCGTGTTGTTATATAATCGCGGTCCTACGTTAGAGATGCTATAATCGGTGATCCGTAATCTGTTGAACTTAATTTCAAAATACTTTGGATTTCTCCTTTCCGTTTGTCTAAGCGGTGATTTTTCAAATATACTACAGATACTCGATGGTGCTACTCCCATATAAACCTTGTGCATCAAAGTTAGACAGCTTTTAGCAATGAGATTAGGAAGAGCTAAAATTCCTATTTTGTTGAAGATGGATTTTGTGTGAGATGGTAGTTTACGTTTTTCTTTGTCGTAAAAATAGTTATGATATTCTGAATCAGTGGCGCGAATAGCTTTCTTTTGAGCAGAGAATAAAGACTGAATGGAATTTAAAGATTTAGTACCCCAAACAGTAGCGCAGTAATACAGGTGAGATTGAATTAAACTATTGTATAGCATTTTTTGAGCTTTATTCGGAATGGAACTTTTAAGTTTCATCATTACGCCTGCATTTCTGGATATTTTAGTTTTTAACTGTTTAATGTGCTGGCTCCAGCTAAGTTTTGAGTCAATAATGACACCTAAAAATCGTTCATGTTCACTTTTCACTAGTCGCTGTCCTTCTATACTAATATTTATATCCTCTGGTAATCTGTTAGTGAATATCATGTATTTAGTTTTTCCTACATTAAGTTTAAGACCGTTGTTTTTAACCCATGTCTGTACAGTATTTAAAACTCTGTTTGCACGCATGTTCAGTTCAGTGTACGTGTCGGCAGAAACGATGATGTTTGCATCATCAGCGAAGAAAATATAATGGGCTATATCGCTTACATTTGCAAGGTCGTTTATGTAAATAATGAACAATATAGGACCAAGAATGGACCCTTGAGGAACTCCATGTTCCAATCCCATTTTTTCTGAACTGCAACCGTTGACGTGAACATACTGTTTCCGGTTAGTTAGATAAGACTCAAACCAGGATAAGCTAAGGCCTCTTACACCATAGTGCTCCAGCTTATGTAGCAGTATCTCACTGTCTACTAGGTCAAGTAGTAGTTTGTAGTAGTAACAGTACTAGTAACAGTAGTAACTAGTAGATAGTAGTTTGTAGAAGTAACAGTAGATAGTAGTTTGTAGAAGTAACTAGTAGATAGTAGTTTGTAGTAGTAACTAGTACATAGTAGTTTGTAGTAGTAACAGTACTAGTAACAGTAGTAACTAGTACTAGTAACAGCAGAAGTAGAAGCAGTAATAGTAGTAAAGTAAGTAAATATCAATTCAGGACAGTACAGAGAGGATGGTAACAGCAGAAGTAGAAGCAGTAATAGTAGTAAAGTAAGTAAATATCAATTCAGGACAGTACAGAGAGGATGGTTACGATGGGAAGTGTAAGGACTGTACATCTGGTCACGTGACAGAGTCAGATGGACTCGCTATCTGTACCATCTGTCCCAAGGTTAGTTTCCATGTTGATATGTGAGGAGTAACACTATCACAATACTGCATATAACATATAATATTACAACATCGTAATTAAATGCCTTGAAATCAGTGCTATCATATAGTCTATATAGTGGAAATCAGATGTATCCGAAATAGTGGAAATCAGTGCTATTCTAAATAGTGAAAATTAATCCTGTAGATTATTCACGTCAGTTAGTGAAAGTGAAAGTGAAAGTGAAATATATAACCACTCTTAAAACAGGGAACCTACGAGGTTGGTCTAAAAGAGTGCACATTATGTGCAGATGGAAAGGTTACGAAGCAGGAAGGACTGACCGTGTGCACTGTTTGTGTCGAAGAAGGTCTCCTGTCCTACGCTAACTCCGACCAGAGTGATTGTGAAACGTGTGAAGTCGTGAGTTAATATCACCTAGTTGCTATGGTTACAAACCTTTATAGTTGTTATGGTTACATACCTAGTACTATCCCTTCTACCCTTTAGCTATCGTTACACATGTTCAGTTTTACAGATTAGCGACTATTATACTTTTTAAAGGAAAACAGCGAATTGAATAAATAAGTTTTGCGTGTTCGTCTTCAGCTCGCGTGTTTCACTAATTGTAACGCGTGTTTCACTAATTGTAGCGCGTGTTTCACTAATTGTAACGCGTGTTTCACTAATTGTAACGCGTGAACTACCCCAGGGAAAAGTGCCTAATACTGACAGGACTGATTGCGAGGATTGTGAAGCTGGGAGGTACCGAGACAGCTCTCTGAACGCTTGTGCAGATTGTCCGGCTCCTAAGATAGCTGCTACCACCGGTCTAGCAGCTTGCAATGAGTGTGTAGAGGTAATTATCTTAATTATAATTAATTATTACAGTTCCAATGGTAATTATCTTAATTATGATTAATTTTTACAGTTCCATGATATTGTTAGTGTTAGGATAATATTTACCACCTGTTCGTTTCTTCTCACAATAATAATACACTATAATATAGTATTTCTCACAAATATACCCCAGGGTACAGCACCCAACGCAGCTAGAACAGTGTGCGTAGTAACCAGCTAGTAACCTAGTAACCAGCTAGTAACCTAGTAACCAGCTAGTAACCTAGTAACCACAATATACCCCAGGGTACAGCACCCAACGCAGCTAGAACAGTGTGCGTAGCGTGCCCTGCTGGAAAGTACAGAGGAGCAGGTGATACCACGTGCAAGCCCTGCGCAGGAGTGCAATTCTCTGAAAACGCCGGAAGTGCAGCATGTGAAGACTGTCCAGTGGTTTGTGGTTATTTGTTTTCAAAAACGAAAAATTAACTGTTAGGACCGCGCTTGGTTAATGAAACTTCCATTCTATATATTATTATATTACTATATATATGTATAATCTAAAAGAGAAACCCACAGCTGTATAATATACTCTTTATTACTAGTAACCTAGTAACCAGCTAGTAACCTAGTAACCAGCTAGTAACAGCTGTATAATATACTCTATATTACTGATACTACCCCCACTCAGGGTGAAGTCCCCAACACTGATAAAGACGGTTGTGATGAGTGTGCAGTGGGGATGTATAGAGGGTCCGGGGATGCGGGGTGTGTAGTGTGTGCAGGAGGGTACCACACTGACGGCGAAACAGGGCAGAGTGAGTGCATCATGTGTTCTAAGGTTCGTGCTCATTACATTTCTTAGCATTGTTCTGCTTTTGTTGAATCTTATTTAAAACTATATGATTTAGTAAGGATATTATATTTATTTTAAAAGAGCACGTTCACTTAGTTCCCCACTCATCTAGTAACCATATTCTCTACTACACGTTAGTAACCTAGTAACCAGCTAGTAACCTAGTAACCAGCTAGTTCACTAATTTCCCCACTCACCAGGGACAAAAGACAGAAACAATCCCTTCCCAGACGGGTATACAGTGTGTAGACTGTCTGCCCGGGTCTTACAGCGCCGCGGACGGGACCGCCACGTGCTCAATATGTGCTAGTCCCAAGGTAACCTTGACAGAGAAGCAGCATGAGTGTGTGCTCTGTGAGCTAGGGACGGTGTACGTGGACTCCAAAACCTGCAAGACTTGTCCGGTAGGAGAGTATAATGAGGATCAAGATAAAGATGACGGAGTCTGTAAGGCGTGTGAGAGTCCGTTAGTCACGTTAACGGAGAAGCAGAGCGAGTGTGTGCTGTGCGAGAAGGGGAACGGGTGGGAGACACCCAGCACGTGCAGAATCTGTGTAGCTGGGGAGTACAGTGACGAGGGGCTCTGTAAATCCTGCCCTCACAACCACGTCTCTACTACAGGTTAGTCACCTAGTAACCACCTAGTAACCTAGTAACCACCTAGTAACCTAGTAACCAAATCCTGCCCTCACAACCACGTCTCTACTACAGGTTAGTCACCTAGTAACCAGCTAGTAACCTAGTAACCAGCAAGTAACCTAGTAACCACCTAGTAACCTAGTAACCACCTAGTAACCTAGTAACCTTATTCTGCCCTCACAACCACGTCTCTACTACAGGTTAGTCACCTAGTAACCACCTAGTAACCTAGTAACCGGCTAGTAACCTAGTAACCATATTCTGCCCTCACAACCACTACACGTTAGGACAGTAACATGATCACTATGATAACCTTACACTGTAGCAACCTGCTTATTATGATAGTTTTAAGTATTAGTTAGTAGCTCTACTTTAATCTAGCACCTGTAATAAACGCCCCCTCTTTCAGCTGGTTTGACAGAGTGTACGCTGTGTTAGTAACCTAATAACCAGCTAGTAACCTAGTAACCAGCTAGTAATAAACGCCCCTCTTTCAGATGGTTTGACAGAGTGTACGCTGTGTCCGAATGGGGATCACTCTGATGAGAAAGCTACAATTTGTTTACCGTGTGAAGAAGAGGGGACGATGAAGGAGGCGGGGGTCAACGAGCTACAATGGCAGAAGTGTGTCGGTAAGTCCTCGTTGATCTTAGGAACTTTCCCTTTCACTTCTCTTCCTCACTCATCCTCCTATGTTTCAATACTGATAGATATGGTGGATCACTAAGTTTAACAACTAACTAACCTCCCACCCCAGCTTATTAAGGAGTAGCGTTAGTAACCTAGTAACCAGCTAGTAACCTAGTAACCACCCCAGCCGACGAAGGAGTAGCGTTAGTAACCTAGTAACCACCTAGTAACCACTTAGTAACCTAGTAACCACCCCAGCTGATGAAGGAGTAGCGTGCACGAAACAGGATGTGGACAGTGTGTACGGATTGTTCCAGGACGTTAGCTTTATGAGAGCAGGGAAGAGCGAGGAGAAGGATTGTCTCTACGACGAAGCTGATCCTACGACGAACCTGAAACCTAAAGCTAAGTTCTCCTGTGAGCTGATATCTGAGACGGATGCTGCTATAAAACCCACCTACAACTGCATCAAGACACCTAATACTGCCAAGATTGAGGCACTTACTGAGGTATTTAATGTGATATACTTCTTCTTTACTTTAAATTAAAGTAATTCCTTTTCTGTTTGATTCCAAATGAAACTTCCCCTTACCTCTGACACGGCACCTAACACGGCACCTACTATAACACCTAACACGGCACCTAATATAACACCTAACACGGCACCTAATATAACACCTAACACGGCAGCTAACACGGCACCTAACACGGCACCTAATATAACACCTAACACGGCACCTAATATAACACCTAACACGGCACCTAATATAACACCTAACACGGCACCTAACACGGCACCTAACACGGCACCTAATACAACACATAACACGGCACCTAATATAACACCTAATATAACACCTAACACGGCACCTAATATAACACGGCACCTAACACGGCACCTAACACGGCCCCTAACACGGCACCTAACACGGCACCTAACACGGCACCTAATATAACACCTAACACGGCACCTAACACGGCACCTAATATAACACCTAACACGGCAGCTAACACGGCACCTAACACGGCACCTAATATAACACCTAACACGGCACCTAATATAACACCTAACACGGCACCTAACACGGCACCTAATATAACACCTAACACGGCACCTAATATAACACCTAACACGGCACCTAATATAACACCTAACACGGCAGCTAACACGGCACCTAACACGACAGCTAATTTAACACCTAACACGACAGCTAACACGGCACCTAACACGGCACCTAACACGGCACCTAACACGGCACCTAACACGGCACCTAATATAACACCTAACACGGCACCTAATATAACACCTAACACGGCACCTAACACGGCACCTAATATAACACCTAACACGGCACCTAACACGGCACCTAACACGGCACCTAACACGGCACCTAATATAACACCTAACACGGCACCTAACACGGCACCTAATATAAAACCTAACACGGCACCTAATATAACACCTAACACGGCACCTAATACAACACCTAACACGGCACCTAATATAACACCTAACACGGCAGCTAACACGGCACCTAACACGGCAGCTAACACGGCACCTAACATGTATTAACTTCAGGAAATAACAGCTGAAAATACAGACGACGCCTCCAGTCAACTGAACGATTTTGCCAGCGAGGGAGCCGCTGGGATCGGGGACATTGCAGCTGCTGCGGACGTTCTGGAGAAGATAGCACAATCTGCTACTGAGGGTTAGTTTGTCTTTCACTTTCACTTTCACTTTCACTTTCACTTTCACTTTCACTTTCACTTTCACTTCCTTGTGGAGACATAATGTTTTAGATATGATATAATCAAATAAAACTTGTATCAAATAAAACTTGTATTAATGTTATAATTATAAAATTGTGCTATTCTGACAGTGAGTGAGGCAGCAACAGAAAACATAGTGTCAGCAGTAAGTTCCATGGCAGCTGGAGATCTGGTTACCGACGACATTGCTCAAAAACAAGAAATATCCAAAAAGTAAGGGATTTTTCGTTTTTAATACTTTTAATTCTTCAAATTACAACTTTCTTAGTACTATTTGTGCAGTAATTTTGAGTAACAATTGTACCCCAGGATGGTTGCTAACATAAAAGAGATTGCTAAGCGGACAGCAGTATCTAACAAGCTGATAAAGTCAGTTAACGTAGCGATAATGAAAGTGCAGAACGAGGACGGAGCTAAAGATATTTCCTTCTTCCTACCGGACGCTAAGGATCTGACTCAGTTGGGACAACCTGGTGGTGGGGGCGAGGAGGGGGGTAAACCAAGACAGCCCTCTATTGCGGTAAGTACTGTCTACTAAGTAGTTGTGAGTAAGTTGGTGGATTTAGAAGTCAGTGAACTAGTTCACGTCACTAAGTAACCAATTATTAGTCACTAAGTAACCAATTATTAGTCACTAAGTAACCAATTAGTCCCTAAGTAACCAATTAGACACTAAGTAACCAATTAGTCCCTAAGTAACCAATTAGTCACTAAGTAACCAATTAGTCACTAAGTAACCAATTAGTCCCTAAGTAACCAATTAGTCACTAAGTAACCAATTAGTCCCTGAAATTAACCTTATCTCAGATCGGTTCCGCGACGGGGATAAAAGAAATGTCAGTGGTTCTAATCTCCGGGGACGCTTTCTTCCCCACTAAAAGTACCGGCCCACTACCAGCCGGGAACTCTACCAGTGAAGTGAGGGACACCCTGTGGAGCGATCTTAAAGACGAGTTCGACCCTGCAGAGGGGGCTGAAGCTGCAGAGAGCTTGAAGTTTGTAAACTCTGTGGTTCTTGAGATAGACGTAGGAGAGCAGGAGGCCGGCTTCGTGCTCAACCTCTACATCAAGCCCAACTTTCAGATTGTGAGTTTAGTTATCAAGCCTAACTTTCAGATTGTGAGTTTAGTTATCAAGCCTAACTTTCAGATTGGGAGTATAGTTAACTGCCTCGTTATTCATCAATAAGTTCATTTGAGTGATAATATTATTCTGTTAACACAGAATATGCTCGCCAGGGAGACACAGTATAATTAACTGTAACCATGGTTACCAGTATAGATAACCATCACTTACTCAGGGAGACACAGCTAACAATATGAAGAAGATGGGGAATAGGAGAGTTCAAATAAAGTACATATGTGCTTGGTACGACAACAAGGCTGAAACGGTAAGTAAACAATAACAAGGCTGAAACGGTAAGTAAACAACAACAAGGCTGAAACGGTAAATAAACAATAACAAGACTGAAACGGTAAGTAAACAACAACAAGGCTGAAACGGTAAGTAAACAATAACAAGGCTGCAACAGTAAATAAACAACAACAATGTTATCTTACTATAATCATCTCATACCTGGTAGTAGGTTTATAACCTACCAGGACGCGCGCCGAGTTGGACTCGTCGACAAATATTTTATCACCCGTTAACATACCTGGTAATTCGTGTAACTGTACAAATAACGTTTATATTATTACTAATATTAACAATAAATAACCCAGGCGGAGTGGAAGACAGATGGATGTGAGACTATATACGATAGCAGTGCTGTGGAGGCCGGCGTAGTGTGCTCCTGTTCTCATAACACTAGCTTTGCTGTACTCATGGTGAGTAATCTTACTATAGTTACTATGACAACTGCTATAGTTACTATAGTTACTATAGTTACTATAGTTACTATAGTTACTATAGTTACTATAGTTACTATAGTTACTATAGTTACTATAGTTACTATAGTTACTATAGTTACTATAGTTACTATAGTTACTATAGTTACTATAGTTACTATAGTTACTATAGTTACTATAGTTATTATAGTTACTATGACAACTGCTATAGTCACTATAGTTATTATAGTTACTATGACAACTGCTATAGTTACTATAGTTATTATAGTTACTATAGTTACTATAGTTATTATAGTTACTATGACAACTGCTATAGTCACTATAGTTATTATAGTTACTATGACAACTCCTATAGTTACTATAGTTATTATAGTTACTATAGTTACTATAGTTACTATGACAACTGTTATAGTTACTATAGTTATTATAGTTACTATCACAATCGCTATAGTTGATATAGTTGTTATAGTAACTATAACAATTGCTATAGTTACATGGCTCACTCAGAATATAATTCTTCTGATCACTTTGGAGAGACCCTTACACTATTACACTGATGATTTACAAGAAGCTATATCTCAGGTTACTACTAATACTAATACTGCTATATTTCAGGCTGCAGAAGAGATAGACCCAGGATATTTAGAGGTTCAGTCTCTGATGTCACAGATTCTCCTAGGAGGGTCCGTCCTGGGCCTCATAGCAACTATTGGTCTCATTTTACCAGGTAGTTTTATGCTCCTTCATATTCTTCCATATTATACTCTCTTCCCTGGCTATATAGAGACATAACAACTTTCGGTCTCATTAAGAGAGCGTGAGCAAGATAAGTAACTATAGTAACAGTTGTCATAGTAACTAACACTCCCTCCCCAGCTTCAGCGATAGTGACTACCCGCTCAGCTAAAGTTAACATCTGCTTCTCTATAGCTCTGTTATTAGCCTCTCTTCTCTTCCTCCTTCAGGACATCTTCATCAAGGCAGATAACACTGGTCTCATACAACTGGTAAACTACTTATTCTTACTGTAAACTAATAATAACTAGTATAGTAACTACTATTAACTAGCATTACTTTTCTTAATAACTTATAGTTACTTACTATTAATTAACATTACTTTAATAGAAAATACAGCGAGTGTTGTTAGTTTTTGTAACGTTCAAGCAGAGTTATTCAATCTAAATATATACCGGTTTAAAAAGGTGTAGTAAAGGTGTTAAAAAGGTGTTGTTTTCAGAAGAGTATAGGTTGTGCAGTGTAAGGTGTAGTAAAGGTGTTAAAAAGGTGTTGTTTTCAGAAGAGTATAGGTTGCGCAGTGTAAGGTGTAGTAAAGTTGTTAAAAAGGTGTTGTTTTCAGAAAATTATAGGTTGCGCAGTGTAAGGTGTAGTAAAGGTGTTAAAAATGTGTTGTTTTCAGAAGAGTATAGGTTGCGCAGTGTAGGTGTAGTAAAGGTGTTAAAAAGGTGTTGTTTTCAGAAGAGTATAGGTTGCGCAGTGTAAGGTGTAGTAAAGGTGTTAAAAAGGTGTTGTTTTCAGAAGAGTATAGGTTGCGCAGTGTAAGGTGTTGTAAAGGTGTTAAAAAGGTGTTGTTTTCAGAAGAGTATAGGTTGCGCAGTGTAAGGTGTTGTAAAGGTGTTAAAAATGTGTTGTTTTCAGAAGAGTATAGGTTGCACAGTGTAAGGTGTAGTAAAGGTGTAGTAAAGTTGCTATAAAGGTGTTGTTTTCAGAAGAGTATAGTTTGCGCAGTGTAAGGTGTAGTAAAGGTGTAGTAAAGTTGCTATAAAGGTGTTGTTTTCAGAAGAGTATAGGTTGCGCCGTGTAAGGTGTAGTAAGGTGTAGTAACGGTGTAGTAAAGTTGCTATAAAGGTGTTGTTTTCAGAAGAGTATAGGTTGCGCAGTGTACACGATGCTACAACACTACATGTGGCTAGTCGTCTTTATGTGGACTATGATTGAAGGATTCCTCATGTACCTCTCTCTGGTACAGGTATTCGGATCTCACATCTCTAACTACATGCTCAAATTCAACCTCGTTGCTTACGGTAAGTTTGTGGAATCAATACAATAGTTCGCTTTATGTTTTCCTCTATGAGCTTGGCTGAGAATGTCCAGTGGATATATCTAATTATCTTAATCCCATATTTGTAGTAGTAAAGTAGTATGTGATATTCTTAACCAGTTCTCTCTCTTCAGGAGTACCAATAGTGTTTCCATTAGCCGGCTACTTCGCTTTCACCAAGAAGATCACAGTGGGAGGGGTGGAGGTAGTTGATCACCAGTACATGGCTGAGACCATGTGAGTAATCTTAGAGACTTACTTGTATCTTACATAACTTAAATAACTTAAATAACTTAAATAACTTAAATAACTTAAATAACTTAAATAACTTAACTAACTTAATAACTTAAATAACTTAAATAACTTAAATAACTTAAATAATTCAAATAACTTGTATCTTACATAACTTACATAACTTACATTACTTATACTGAAGCTTCTTACATATCTGAGTGTTAATTTCATCAAAATTAATTGTCTTCTTGATCAACCTAACTATGAAAGTTTTAAATCTATTTCCATATAAACTAACTGAACTACTATTTCAGGTGTTTCCTTAAGCCAGGAACAATAAACTTCTATGCGCTCTTCTTCGGCCCTCTCATCCTTGCAATAATAGTGAACCTCGTCTTCTTCGGGCTCGTCCTCAAAGTCATCAGAAACTCAAAGAACGCCAATCTCAGTGATAAAGAACAATTAATGGTTAGTTAGTCACTCATTCTAAGGATTTTTTATAAATCAGACGTTCTCATGCTCACATTGATAAAGTATAAGTGGTTATTTAGTTACTATAGTTACTAAAATAACAATATTAACTATTGCTATGGTGATTCTAACCCCCCTCCCTGTAGTTACTATAGTTACTAAATAACAATATTTCCTATTGTCATGGTGATTCTAACCCTCCCCCCTGTAGTTACTATAGTAACTAAATAACAATATTAACTATTGCCATGGTGATATTAACGCTCCCCCCTGTAGTTACTATAGTAACTAAATAACAATATTAACTATTACCATGGTGATATTAACGCTCCCTCCTACAGAGACAGATGAAAGCAGCAGTGGGAGTGATGGTGCTGCTGGGTACAGGGTGGGTGTTAGGAGTTTTCATGAACATTCCCGCTCCCGGTCTCCAGATAACACTCCAGTATCTCTTCATCGTATTCAACGCTTCTCAGGTAAATCCCCTGTCTGTAGTACTTTTTCAATATTATAAATTAGACATTATTTTATTAATTTAAGTTAAGCTTGACTTGCTTTTTAAAAACACTGAAACTACCACGGTTACTATGACAACTAACTTCAGGGAATATTCGTATTCGTATTCTACGTGCTTCTAAACGACGGAGTAAAGAGCTTCTGGCTAGAGAAGTTAGGAATGAACACAGCAGCTGCTCCCAAATCAGGCGGTGGAGCGAGTACTGCTACTAATGTGTACGCGAACGCTTCCACCAGCAAACAGGAAGCTGACCACACGTACTCTAACGCAGCAGAGTTCCCCGCTAAAAAGGACGATAACGCTAATCTTTAGACTGAATACTTTTAGTTGATTTATATTAAATTAAACAGACTCTAATAAAACAATAGGACAATAGCTTTGCTATTCTGATCGAATAGTCCGCAAGGAAATGTTTTTAAATCAGTTATTTTTATTAAGTTATTGAAGAAAGCAAATTATTAACTTAATTAAGTTATTGAAGAAAGCAAATTATTAACTTAGCTTTCGCTGATCAAATCGAAAGAGTTAATATTTTAAAAGTTAACCATTTTTATAGTATCGAACCTTCATAAAGGTTAATACGATTTTATTTTTAATTCATGTGTTTTTAGTGTTTAGTTATAATTTAATCTTTATGCTCGTCATTGATAATTTGACGACTATTTTCAATTATATTTCATGACGCATTATGACAATAATATATTTGAATGATATGATATATTTGAATATTCTGGGTTTAACAGTAGTATTTTACTTTTCAATTCAAAATTAAGTACTAAGTAGGTGGATAATACTAATAGTATAATACGCTAAGTCAATTTCACAGCTGTTGCAAAATCAAAATTGTGGCTCTTTCCGTCTATCCGCCTATCCGTCCTTCCGTCTGTCCGTTCTTCTGTCCTTTTGCTCCTTCCGTCTATCCGTCTGAATGTCTGTCCGTCTGAATGTCTGTCCGTCTATCAGTCTTTTCGTATATCTGTCCGTCATTCCGTCATTTTGTTCTTTCCGTCTGTCCGTCTGTCCGTCTAATCGTCTATCCGTCTTTCTTTCTGTCCGTCTTTCTTTCTGTCCGTCATTCCGTCTTTCTTTCTGTCCGTCCTTCCGTCCTTCTGTCTGTCCGTCTGTCCGTCTGTCTCTTTATCTTGTACACCTCTGTTTTACACACACTATAGTCCTACTAATGTTTTACACACCCTGAGTGATTAATAACTTAATAACTCTAGCTAATAACTACAGATGTGAGCTGCTACTCAGGCTTTTCCGGCACCTCGCTTATTTTTACTCTCTATAACGATTAGGAAGTCATGAATAAGCACTTAAATACAGATTAAATACAGATGTGAGCTGCTATTAAGTAATTAACAGTGAGCACGGAGGGTGCATTAAGTAGAGCAGGTTAGTGTGCTTAATGTTTTAATGTAAGAGCATTATAAGTTACACACGTGACTTTTAGTCAGTTAACGTTTATTCTGGTTAAAACCCATGGCTATAACAAGCAACGTTACGCCACCGGCCACTGTACTGAACCCACCGGCCACTGTACTGAGCCCACCGGCCACTGTACTGAGCCCACCGGCCACTGTACTGAGCCCACCGGCCACTGTACTGAGCCCACCGGCCACTGTACTGAGCCCACCGGCCACTGTACTGAGCCCACCGGCCACTGTACTGAGCCCACCGGCCACTGTACTGAGCCCACCAGCCACTGTACTGAGCCCACCGGCCACTGTACTGAGCCCACCGGCCACTGTACTGAGCCCACCGGCCACTGTACTGAGCCCACCGGCCACTGTACTGAGCCCACCAGCCACTGTCCTGAGCCCACCGGCCACTGTATAGAGCCCACCGGCCACTGTACTGAGCCCACCGGCCACTGTACTGAGCCCACCGGCCACTGTACTGAGCCCACCGGCCACTGTACTGAGCCCACCGGTCACTAAGCCCAAGCAAAAAGAATTGGGAATGCCGACATAACACAACTTAAAATTAAATTTTGCCTAAACTATGAAATCAGTACCCTGAAGATCATGAGGCCGCTAGGCAAGGGCAGATTTCTCACGGTGTCGGGGGCTAATGTCCTTATCAGTGTGACAGTTATTCCTCGAAATCAGTAATACGGGGTGTCACGTGACAGTAATTCGTCGAACTGGTAGGTTCACGTGACCACTGCGTACGAGTCACACAATCATCTTCAAGCATATACAGGGCGTGTGCCAGCGTATTCAGTGCTCTGAGACCCTGAGGCGTTGTTGTCTCTTTATTATGAAAGTTGATTATATTCAGTGCCCTGTGGGGTGGTACAATAACATTTAATAGTTGCATGGAAATGTATTATATTGCAGTACGGTCCTTTATATAACTACCCAGCATGTAGTATAGTATACAGTACTGCTACTAGTATACAGTGTGCAGCATGTAGTATAGTATACAGTACTGCTACTAGTATATAGTATATAATATAGTATACAGTATATAGTATACAGTATATAGTATGTAGTCCTACCTACCCAGCTCAAAGAAGACTTTTTCGAGGAAGTAAACAAACCGGCTCGTTATATTGTCTACTCTTGTTGGAGCTTCAGGCTCTCGTTAAGTACTTTGATATTGTGATGTACTAAACTGGTTTCAGTAATAGTTAAAATCCTCTTTTATCGTTATTCAAAAATTAAACATTTCATTTGAACCTATGAGTGTAATTTATTCTTTACACAATATCTCTTTTAAGTAGAAACTGTACGGATTTGCTCGTACCCTTATTTACTAAATCCTCCTAACCATATTATAAACAGTAAGTAAAGGGACATGACTCACCTGTTATAAGACATGACACACGTGCTAGGTCTCTACACCGGGGTAGTGTTTGAGAGAGAGGAGAAGAAGTGGCTGCCTCTAGCTCGGACCTTCCTCTCCGTACAGGTTAGTAACCTAGTAACCAGCTAGTAACCTAGTAACCACATTCTGCCCTGACAACCACGTCTCTACTACACGTTAGTAACCTAGTAACCAGTTAGTAACCAGTTAGTAACCTAGTAACCATCTAGTAACCTAGTAACCAGCTAGTAACCTAGTAACCAGCTAGTTACCTAGTAACCAGCTAGTAACATAGTAACCAGCTAGTAACTTAGTAACCAGCTAGTAACCTAGTAACCAGCTAGTAACCTAGTAACCAGCTAGTAACCTAGTAACCAGCTAGTAACCTAGTAACCAGCTAGTAACCTAGTAACCAGCTAGTAACCTAGTAACCAGCTAGTAACCTAGTAACCAGCTAGTAACCTAGTAACCAGCTAGTAACCTAGTAACCAGCTAGTAACCTAGTAACCAGCTAGTAACCTAGTAACCAGCTAGTAACCTAGTAACCAGCTAGTAACCTAGTAACCAGCTAGTAACCTAGTAACCAGCTAGTAACCTAGTAACCAGCTAGTAACCTAGTAACCAGCTAGTAACCTAGTAACCAGCTAGTAAACTAGTAACCAGCTAGTAACCTAGTAACCAGCTAGTAATCTAGTAACCAGCTAGTAATCTAGTAACCAGCTTGTAACCTAGTAACCAGTTAGTAACCTAGTAACCATATTCCCTTACACGTTAAGACACTAACCTTCCTCTTCTTACAGCTGGTCAAGGTGCAGAACAAACACGAACTCGTCTACAGGGTCTGGGCTTATCAGGGTTAGTTACCATGGTTACATGCCAGGGTTAGATATTTGTGTGCTTTTATAATACTTTTGTAATAGTGTTAGAAACTGCTATGATGATACCATGGTTACAGTTAGTATTATGTTGTAATATCTCCCTCCAGATGAGAAGCTGAAGATAGAGATGAGGATATTAGCTTCTCTAAAGGTGTCCCGACAAGAAACCTTCGTTCGTATGGTAGATGAGGCCTTCAGCGAAACTATGGGAATTAGATTCAAAACCAAGGACATGGCTAACCAGGTGAGCTAATGGTAACCATGGTAACCATCACTAACATGGCTAACCAGGAGAGTTAATCAGCATAATTTATTTCGTTACAATGTACTTCAGACCTGACAATTACTGTTAGGCCTGGATTTGTTTTAAATCTGTTAGGGTTTTTATTGTGATATATAATTATATAATATTAAATTTGTGTTGCAGTTTTTTGACGACGTAAGAGACGTGATACGAAAGGCTCCTGCTAAAGAACTGGTTGATTTGCCTGAAGGACACCACGCAAAGCAAGGTATGTAACCATGGTAACCATCACTATACACTAACTGTAACCATGGTCCATGGTAACCATGACTAACTGTAACCATGGTAACCATCACTAACTGTAACCATGGTAACCATCACTAACTGTAACCAAGATAACCATCAGTAACTGTAACCATGGTAACCACCACTAACTGTAACCATGGTAACTATCACTAACTGTAACCATGATAACTATCATTAAATGTAACCATGGTTACAGGTGTTCCTGAGGAGACAGTAAAGTTGAAGGTACATTTACCTGCTGACGCTAAAGGAAAAGAAAGGAAGTGTTATGTTAAGGTTGATAGGAGGTTAGTATTAAAAGAGCACTTTTGTTTGCACGGATACCAGGTCGTTGTTTTGTCTCCTACTCGATAATGTTTAGTCCTTACGTAACTAGTAAACTAGTAAGTTAAGTAAATCAAATAAAGTGGTTCCCTCACTAGGACGACAATGGGGCAACTACTCGCTGCCATAAGGAAGAGTAACAAAGTAACTTTGTAACCATGGTAACTATCACTAGGACGACAATGGGGCAACTACTAGCTGCCATAAGGAAGAGTAACAAAGTAGACAACCCTGCAGCCTGGATAGAGATCAGACCTAACAGATACAACCCACTGCCTCCCCACTTCACAGTCAGCAGTAGTGTGGGGAATCTTAATATCAGGGAGATCTGGGTCGTTCACAACAAGGGGCCTCCTATCCCACCAGTTAGTATTCTAGTTCACAACAAGGGGCCTCCTATCCCACCAGTTAGTATTCTAGTTCACAACAAGGGGCCTCCTATCCCACCAGTTAGTATTCTAGTTCACAACAAGGGGCCTCCTATCCCACCAGTTAGTATTCTAGTTCACAACAAGGGGCCTCCTATCCCACCAGTTAGTATTCTAGTTCACAACAAGGGGCCTCCTATCCCACCAGTTAGTATTCTAGTTCACAACAAGGGGCCTCCTATCCCACCAGTTAGTATTCTAGTTCACAACAAGGGGCCTCCTATCCCACCAGTTAGTATTCTAGTTCACAACAAGGGGCCTCCTATCCCACCAGTTAGTATTCTAGTTCACAACAAGGGGCCTCCTATCCCACCAGTTAGTATTCTAGTTCACAACAAGGGGCCTCCTATCCCACCAGTTAGTATTCTAGTTCACAACAAGGGGCCTCCTATCCCACCAGTTAGTATTCTAGTTCACAACAAGGGGCCTCCTATCCCACCAGTTAGTATTCTAGTTCACAACAAGGGGCCTCCTATCCCACCAGTTAGTATTCTAGTTCACAACAAGGGGCCTCCTATCCCACCAGTTAGTATTCTAGTTAACAACAAGGGGCCTCCTATCCCACCAGTTAGTATTCTAGTTCACAACAAGGGACCTCCTATCCCACCAGTTAGTATTCTAGTTCACAACAAGGGGCCTCCTATCCCACCAGTTAGTATTCTAGTTCACAACAAGGGGCCTCCTATCCCACCAGTTAGTATTCTAGTTCACAACAAGGGGCCTCCTATCCCACCAGTTAGTATTCTAGT